GGGAGTTTCCCCTTGACTTCTGGAGACGCAGGATTGAACCTTGGCACAGGGTATCCACCAGCCCCTTTATTTCATCCCCTGGAGGTGGCGTGTGAAACACACCAGCTCCCCCACCCAACCCACAGGGCTGTCGTTCAGGCGCAATCCTAGGCTGTGGAGGGTCAGGGCTCTGCTCCATCTGCCCCCCCGCCATCCTGCAGCCACCTAGGACCATCTTGGGGCATCAGGTCACTCAGGGCTCCCTCCCACTGCTCAGCGCTGTCCCCAGACAGGCACATTCCATTTATAGCAGCCTGCAATTACCAGCTAGCGTTTTCCCAAGGCTTCCAGCAACCAGTGAACACTGACAGGAGTCTCAGGCCAGCCCCAGCCCTGGCCTTGTGATGAGCACTGGGTTTGCTCTGCCCAAACCCCTGGGGGGGATGTGGGGAGCATGCAGGCTGAGCTCCGCTGTCTCAGCTTCCTGGCCAGGATGCTGGAACATGTGCAGGTTTTAGTCCATCAGGAAAGGGCACGATGCACATACACCCAGCTCACAGGAGAGGCAGCTCCAGGCCGAGGAGGGGGAAATGCAAGCATTGCTGTATGTAGAGGAGGATATAATATATCACATGAGATAGAACATCCGTACAATTTACTCTGGGGGCGGGGGAGGAGGGGGAACTCATCAGGACAGAATGCAGTATGTGCATCTAGCTGCCACCCTCTATGCTGTTACCCAGGGCAACCTCCCTGCCTAGCGGTGCTCCAGGCATTGCCCAGGCCCAGAAGAGCCACTATGGTGGAGATACACCTGTTGCTGCTCCTGCATGGTGCTGGAACAGCACCCCCCCCCCCCACACACACACACACTTCCTTTCTTCACTACTGTTGCTCATTTTATTTGTTGCCCCCGAGCCTCTCTTCTTCCCCCTTGCAGAGGGGACAGGTGGCCCAAGCAGCAGCCGCTCTGGGGGGATGGCAGGAAGAAATGTGGTCATGAGGGTGGAAAATGGCTCTTTGATGCCAGCCTTTCAAAGCCCCGGCACTGAAGTGGTGAATCAAAGGAGAGAGAACAGTAATGGTCTGGCTACACTGCAATTAAAACCCCACAGCTGGTACAGGCCAGCTGATGCAGACTCCAGAGGCTCCAGCTAAGGGGCTGTTTAACTATGGTGTGGTCCTAGAGCCTGAACATCTACATCATCCACCCATGAATTGTGGGAGATGTCCTCTGACCTTTCTGGGTGCGTGGTGGGGAAATTGTGGGAAGGAATTGGAGGACTAGTGTCACTCAAGAAGTATTAACCTGCATAGAATATCAGGGTTGGAAGGGACCTAAGGAGGTCATCTAGTCCAACTGCCTGCTCAAAGCAGGACCAATCCCCAATTTTTGCCCCAAATCCCTAAATGGCCCCCTCAAGGATTGAACTCACAACCCTGGGTATAGCAGGCCAATGCTCAAATCACTGAGCTATCCCTCCCCCTCCTCGACATGACACTGTGAGCATGTTAGCAGCTGTGCGGGGGCTGGGGGGGGAATTGTGTTCTCTCAGGCTGTACCCATCCACCCCCCCCCAGGCGAGCCAAACCAAGTAAAAAGCACTGGAGTTAAGGGTGGGTGTGTGACAGGCCCGTCTGCCCCGCTGTAGCCACTGCCTACACCAATGGGAAGGGATTCTCCCATTGGCACAGGTAACCCACCTCCCCAAGAGGTGGCAGCTAGGGCAGGGGAAGCATGGTCTACACCAGGGATTAGGTCAGCAGAGATCAGTCTCTCAGGGGTGTGGATTTTTCACCCTCCTACTGTAGACCAGGACCCAGTACTGCAAACATTGTCACATTGCTTGCACGCATGCCAGTGCTGCTGCAATACAAGCCTATCTCTGCAGGACGCTCCCATGCACAGGGTCTGGCTGCCTTGCCATCTGGGCAAGATGCAAGAGGTACCTTTTTGAGCAGGCTTTTCAATAGCTGCAGCCTGCAGGCATTAGATTCCCCGGCTAGTGCACTCTGTGATCTTGGGATTCCTCAAGGACAGAGGTGACTATGCTGAGGGAAGGGGGACACCTGCTCCCCATCCCTTGGAAACTGTTTGGCTCTGCTGTAAAATAACTGAAATCCTATAGGGATGGGCACCTAAACATTCGGGCATCCTAAAAACATCATTAATGATGCCACAGTGCAGCACTGTGGGCAAGTCCCTTTCCCTTGCACCTGGGTTTACTTAGCCAGCTTGAGCTCTACAGAACAGGGATTGTCTCTGCATAGTGCATAGCACAACAGGGCCCTGATCTTGGCTGAGGTCCTCAAGGTGCTATTTTAATAGCAAATGAATAATGATGAAAAAAGGAAGAAGGAGGGTCCAGGGAACTACAGGCCACTCAGCCTCACCTCAATCCCTGGAAAAATCATGGAGCAGGTCCTCAAGGGATGAATTCTGAAGCACTTAGAAGAAAGGAAAGTGATCAGGAACAGACAGCATGGATTCACCAAGGCAAGTCATGCCTGAGTAACCTAATTGCCTTCTATGAAGAGATGACTGGCTCTGTGGATGAGGGGAAAGCAGTGGATGTGTTATTCCTTAACTTTAGCAAAGCTTTTGATACAGTCTCCCACAGTATTCTTGCCAGCAAGTTAAAGAAGTATGGGCTGGATGAATGGACTATAAGGTGGATAGAAAGCTGGCTAGATCGTCGAGCTCAACAGGTAGTGATCAATGGCTCCATGTCTAGTTGGCAGCTGGTATCAAGCGGAGTGCCCCAAGGGTCAGTCCTGGGGCCGGTTTTGTTCAATATCTTCATTAATGATCTAGAGGATGGCGTGGATTGCACCCTCAGCAAGTTTTCAGATGACACTAAACTGGGAGGAGTGGTAGATATGCTGGAGGGTAGGGATAGGATATAGAGGGACCTAGACAAGTTAGAGGACTGGGCCAAAAGAAATCTGATGAGGTTCAACAAGGACAAGTGCAGAATCCTGCAATTAGGACAGAAGAATCCCATGCACTGCTACAGACTAGGGACCGAATGGCTAGGCAGCAGTTCTGCAGAAAAGGACCTAAGGGTTACAGTGGACGAGAAGCTGGATATGAGTCAGTGTGCCCTTGTTGCCAAGAAGGCTAACGGCATTTTGGGCTGTATAAGTAGGGGCATTGCCAGCAGGTCGAGGGATGTGATTGTTCCCCTCTATTCAACATTGGTGAGGCCTCATCTGGAGTACTGTGTCCAGTTTTGGGCCCCACACTACAAGAAGGATGTGGACAAATTGGAAAGAGTCCAGCGGAAGGCATTAAAAAATGATTGGGGGACTGGAACACATGACTTATGAGGAGAGGCTGAGGGAACTGGGATTGTTTAGTCGGCGGAAGAGAAGAATGAGCGGGGATTTGATAGCTGCTTTCAACTACCTGAAAGGGGGTTCCAAAGAGGATGGAGCTAGACTGTTCTCAGTGGTAGCTGATGACAGAACAAGGAGTAATGGTCTCAAGTTGCAGTGGGGGAGGTTTAGGTTGGATATTAGGAGAAACTTTTTCACTAGGAGGGTGGTGAAGCACTGGAATGGGTTACCTAGGGAGGTGGTGGAATCTCCTTCCTTAGAAGTTTTCAAGGTCAGGCTTGACAAATCCCCTGGCTGGGATGATTTAGTTGGGATTGGTCCTGCTTTGAGCAGGGGGTTGGACTAGATGACCTCCTGAGGTCCCTTCCAACTCTGATATTCTATGCTTATTAAGCAATGATTCTGCCACTGACTTGCTGTGTGGGCTTGGGATTCTTTGTGCCTTTCCATACTGATTGTACTCCCTCATCAGTCCAATGAGCCTGACCCTCAGGTTTAAAGCCCTCTTTACAAGGAGTTCCGTAGTTCAGAATACTCCTGGTTGGGTGGGGCTGTGAATAGGAATGGGAGGGTGGGATTTCAGCCCCACTCCTACAGGGATCAGCTGTTGGAGAATTGATGGAGCTGGAGAATTGATTCCCTTTAGATATTGCCTGACAGCTTGTCCACAGGGGGGGATTTGTGCTGCTCTTCCCACACCGATGCAACACCACACGTGCAAGTGGTTTTTACAAAGGTGCAGCATGCCTGCGCTGGGGTTTGTCCCACGACTCCTCTGCTGGTGCCAGAGTTTCTATTGCCACTGATGCAATTAATTCTCAGATGCAATTAATTCTTTGCTGGCCCAAGCCAGCAAAGCCGAGTGGATTTTTTTTTTAAAAGATTTTTTTTTTTTTAAATTTTAAATTAGATTTTTTTATTTAAAATCAGACATTTTTTATTTTGTTACTTACATTATAGCATTTTTCTTTTTAAAAATAAACCTGTTTAAAAGGAAATCTGATTTTAACCCAAAATATGTTAAGGCCGAAACTTATTGGCGTTTAGTTGTAAATGTGAAACATGCTTTGATAAGAGATGTTTATGTGGCCAAAAAGTTTAAAGTTGTTTTGTTTAATAAAAATAAATTGTATTTGCCATTGTGTGTTTAATTCAATTCCAGTTACCATCCTAATGCAGCTCGGCCCAAATAATGAGCCAAAAGCTAATTCTGCTGTAAATAAGCAATATATCATTCACCATTTCCAAACATACTAAAAGTGTACAAGTAACAAGAATCTGAAAATAATAAGCTACAGAATTGCTTAAATAAATGTTTATAGTTATTGTGTACCCTCCGACGTAGCAAAAAGTTGTAACGTGTCTAGTGCAAAGACTCTAGTTTTAAATCAACATGTTTTAAATTATTACATCAACCAGTGAGAATGCACATTTCTTTAGGAAGTAACTGAAATGCAAATGGAAAAGTTCATTATAACCAATGAGTTAAATCAAGGCTTCCCACCTGATGATTTACATCATGATTTCAATCACTGACTTCAATCACCTTGACTTAAAACAATCTCCCAGGCAGCAGTGAGAACTGCAGGGGCTCAGCACATGCAGGCCAAGAGCCCAGATTGTTCAGCCCTGCTAAATGCATGGCCAAGAGAGATGCAAAATTCCTTCCTTTCTGTTTTCAGCTGGAAGCGGCACCAGAATCTCTCCCAGCAGAACATGCTCCCTGGAGGGAGGAGCAGCTTTCCCTGCTGAGAGAGGAGCCCCCGGCCAGAGAATCCACCAGCATGCCAGCCCTGGTCTTTAGCAGGCGGCACCTCTCCACTGCCCCTGCCCTGCTGACTTGGATTCTCCTGCTGAGCATTGGGAATGGTGGTGCCTGGAAGCAAGGTGTCCCTCGCCTTCGCCTCTCGTACAAAGGTAGGGGGGAGCCTGCGGCTGATCAGCCCTGCAGTCAGAGCCAGGATTTCCTTGGGGTTCATGCCCAGTTCAGAATGATCTAGAAGTAGCATCAGGTAGCCAAGCTGACTGGCAGCTAGTGAGGCCAGGGCTGGTGGGAATGGGTGGGGGGAGGAGGATCTGGACTATAGGGTTTGGGTAGGGCCAATATCAGCCCTACAATGGGGCTTCTTGCTCTGCAGTAGTTGTGGCCAGTGAGGCACCAGAACCCGACAGAGGCTGAGCTCAGCTGACTGCAGTATGACCTGGGTGGACACCAGCATGGCCAGAGAGCTCAGAAAATGCCACTACCCCAGGGGGCTCAGGCAATGCCCATCTATCTGCTGCTGTCAGGGATGGGGGTTGGAAAGGGAATGGCCCAGAGGGGAAGTCTCGGGCTGCCCTTGGGGCACAGGAGGGGATCTAAAAATACCCCATTTCACCCTGAGACTCAGCGTACAGTGCTTTATAATGTTCCATGTACTGTGTAACGCACAGGGGCAGGGCCAGCCCTCACCATGGGGAAACGTCACACACTGCAGGAGGCCTTGGGCAACCTCTAGCTACACAGGCCACACAACAAAACACGTTGTTCAATTGCATGGGGGAAAGCGTACGGACTTCAGTGTGAGGGCGGGAACAGAGTCAGCCTGAGTTCACCTGGGAGGAAGCATGTCTAGTGGTTAGAGCAGGTCATTGGGAATCTAGAGAGCCAGCTTCTGCCACTGACTCAGTGCATCGCCTCAAGCGAGTCACTTAACTCAGCTTTGTGAGGCTCAGTCAACCAAGACCCAATACATGGATGCAGGGAGGCTGTATTCCCTGCCCTCTGTGGTACAGAGCTCTGTGGGGGCTCCCTGCAACCCCCACCCCAGGACTCTTATGGTGGGCCAGGGAGGAACTGGGGGATCTGCAGGCTACACAGCTCCACTGCCCAGCACCCTGCAAGGAAGGGGCGATGGCGGCCCATAGAGGTAGCAGCAGCTATGGAGCAGAGTCATTGCTGCACTACGGCCTGGGGCAAGGGTTCCTACTCAGTGCCCAGCCTGTTTACTCCAGCTGTGTGGGGGGGAGTGAGGATTCACCCTTCGTGCTGCCGGAGTTTTAGCTCTCGTCACAGCCCCAAATTCTTCTCTGTAGGGGTGAGTTCACACACCACAGCGTCAGCCCTCGGCCTCTCTGCTAAGGCTCCCAGCACAGCGGCGGGTTTGTGAAATGGGCACACATCCACAAGGAACTGGACTGAAACCCTCAGCTGGTCTCACAAAGGGGCCACCAGACTGGCATCATGCTGAGTTCCTTTTAGGGACACAGGGATTGCCAGACTGGCTCACTCCCGAGGTCCATCTAGCCCAGCGAACTGGAGGCCAGCACCAGATGCTGCAGAAAAAGGTGCAAGAATCTGGTGCTTGGTAGTGAGAGCTTGGCTCAAACCATGGGGGCTAATATCACTTCCAGAAGCTTTGCTCTCAGTTATGTTAACTAGCTAGCCTCGTTATCCATATAGACAGTTCTTAACTTCCTAGGGCAAGACAAGCTGATTGTACATTGGGGGAAAGCTTGGGTCAGTTTTGGATTTCCCACCTTTCCGTTTCATTGACGGTCCCCTTGTTCACGTGTCATGAGGCAGAACAGAAGTTTCCAGTCTCCCTTCTCTATCCCTGTCAAGGTTCCTTCCCCACTCTGAACTCTAGGGTACAGATGTGGGGACCTGCATGAAAGACCCCCTAAGCTTATTCTTACCAGCTTAGGTTAAATACTTCCCCAAGGTACAAACTTTGCCTTGTCCTTGAACCCTATGCTGCCACCACCAAGCGTTTTAAACAAAGAACAGGGAAAGAGCCCACTTGGAGACGTCTTCCCCCAAAATATCCCCCCAAGCCCTACACCCCCTTTCCTGGGGAAGGCTTGATAAAAATCCTCACCAATTTGTACAGGTGAACACAGACACAAACCCTTGGATCTTAAGAACAATGAAAAATCAATCAGGTTCTTAAAAGAAGAATTTTAATTAAGGAAAAGGTAAGAGAATCACCTCTGTAAAATCAGGATGGTAAATACCTTACAGGGTAGTCAGATTCAAAACATAGAGAATCCCTCTAGGCAAAAAACCTTAAGTTACAACAAGACACAAAAACAGGAATATACGTTCCATTCAGCACAGCTATTTTACCAGCCATTAAACAAAAGGAAATCTAACTCATTTCTAGCTAGCTTACTTACTAACAGAAGTTCTGAGACTGCATTCCTGATCTGTTCCCAACAAAAGCATCACGCAGACAGACAGACCCTTTGTTTCCCCCCACCTCCGGATTTGAAAGTATCTTGTCTCCTCATTGGTCATTTTGGTCAGGTGCCAGCGAGGTTACCTTAGCTTCTTAACCCTTTACAGGTAACAGGATGTTGCCTCTGGCCACAAGGGATTTTATAGCACTGCATACAGAAAGGTGGTTACCCTTCCCTTTATATTTATGACAATCCCATTCATGGTTTTATAGCCTTTCATAGACACGTAGAGCTGGAAGGGACCTTGAGAAGTCCTGCACTGTGGCAGGACCAAGCAAACCTTTATCACATCCCCTCCTATTCATCTCCTTTCTAAGGAGACAATCCCAATCTTTTCAGTCTCTTCTGAGGAGAGCCGTTCCAGGCCCCTCCCTGAACCCCTGCTAATTCTGCAACTGGACCACATCTGCCCTTGACCTTCTTTCAGCTAGTGACATAAAGATGATTTGTCTAGTTATTTACACTGCACTCATCACCGGGGTATGCAAGTACTCATCCTAATGGTGCGATATTTCGATGCCACAGCTACTGACAACACTCTTAAGTTCATGTACCACATAGCCCCTTTCAGCCAAAAGGATTCTGAAGCATTTTACAGACTCTGTGGAGGGCTCCAAGGCCCAACAATGATATGCAGCCACCTCTGGTATAGAATGCACTCGCTCGTGAACAGCACACAGCAAAACTACACAACAGCTTAGAGGATGGGGGAGTGAAGACTAATCTGCATAGCTTACTCATGAGTTGGGATCCAGCCAGGCTGCTGGAATTCAGCATTCCTGCTCAGGAAAACCAGCATGGGCTTGTAAGGCAGAGGCCCAGCTCACCAGCCAGTGCCTCCGAGACCTCGCAGCCTTCACTGCCTTTCAGTCCCTTTTCTTCAGGACTTGGCTTCTGCTTTTTCCAAGTAAAACAGTTTAACCTTAGCTCCACATGTAAATCAGGACCTTCCCCTGACCCAGGGTCTCCTGTTGGCTGCTCTCCCACGCCCCAGGCCTTTTGCCTGGGAATTAAGGCAAGCTGCTCTACTCCCTTCTGCTGGAGATGGCTTTACACCCTCAGGCCGCCCTTTATACTCCCGCAGGCCTGGCTCTGAGTCACAATCTTCTCCTACGTGACCGCCTTCAGCTCAGCCTGAGACAGGGCTCTTTAATGACAAAGTGGTCGGGATGCTCTCTGATTTTCACCCAGCAGCATCATAGCACACCCTAGCTCCATGCTGGGCCATTGGATCAGTGCAGACACAGATGAGCACCACTTACTGAACTGCCCCACCAGCAATGCTACCATAGCCAGGCTTCCTTGGAGGCCTCCCATCCAAACTCCAGCCAGGCACAAGCCTGCTTAGTTCACACTAGCTGAGGACAGTGGTTCTGCTGCAGGAAGAACTCGGATGACGGTGGTGGCCTCAGGGCAGAGGTGAGGACCACGGGTGGCACGTCAGGGCAGGGCAGGGATGACACCTGTGACCATAGGTCTCCTCTCACTCCCAGAGAAGAGAGCCAATTGCTTGGCTGTCTAATTGAGGTGCAAGGGGGACTTAGACTGGATGCTCATCAAACACAGAGCTCCTGGACGCCAAGCCTGAGGTAATGGCCCACTGGCTGTGGTCTAGGGGTGATACGCTCTCAGTACAGAACTGATTGGGCAGAGACTGGCACTCAAGCCGGGAGATGCCTTGGGGGTTTGTGGGGAGCCACCAGAACTCAGGCTTGAAACCAAGGACCACAAGGGAGTGGGGGGAGAAGTTGGCCTTGGTCAGGGCTGCCTGCACACACTGTCTGCCACGCAGCATCCGGTGAGGAAGCACAATGCTCCAGAGCAGGTCACCGCTGGGCGATTGCCAGCATCGATAACACGTCTCAGAAACACAATGGCTAGATCTTCCTTTCCTTGGCCAGGCGGGAGCAGAGATTGTTTGGAGGAGAGGACCGAGGAGGGCTTCCTTCTTCAAAGCCAGAACGGCCCTTGTGCTGTGGGCAGAGCTGGGAGAGGAAGCTCCCAGCCTCAGGCCGGCTTGGGGACAACGCAGACAATGGCAGGAGGTGTGACTCACAGACTACACGTAGCAGGGTCAAGGCCACAACGGCCTGACAAGTCTAGGTTTCAAAAACCGCAGAGGAAAGAAACCTCCCAGACTCCCTCCGCCCCAGAGCCTCTTGGGAGCTGAGCTATCGTCAGAGCCCCGCAAGGGGGAGGGGCGTGGGCTGAATGGGGGTGGGGAGAAACACAGACAGTCTTTCAGAAAGGAAATGACAGACCTAAGGCAGGGAGAGCAAAGGAAGGATGGTGCACAGGGGAACACGGCGCAGAACAATAAGGCTAAGCAGCAATATGACCCCTCACACCATGATAACGCCATCAGAAGGCTTATAATAGAATGTCGGCCTTTCTGAGAAAATCCACGCAACTGCTCCTGTGACAAACGTGGGAGGGCCTGAACTAGGGACCTCCAGAGCTGAAAACATAAGCTGCCTGAACTCTGGGGCTGCATGCAACACCTCGTATCCCATTGATAGTCACAGAGGGGGACCTGTACCACATGCACATCAGTAAGTTACATTACTGGACGGGAAGCACTACCAGCTTCTTGGTGTTTGGCCTGCGCTGATCGGCATTCAGAAAGTGAATGCTACTTCAATCTGCTTCAGACAGGCCAGCGTTGAAGCCAGCTGAAATCCTGGACTGGGCTGTGTCTTTCTATCTGGGATGGTGTCGTTACTCTGGGCTTATATATCAGCAATGAGGTTACACCTTAACGCTGCGTGGTCTGCTCTTAACGTAGAGGGCTGAACGTTCCAGGCGACTGGACGCGGGCTGCAGAACCCTTTGCCTGCAGGTCACTGGTTCACAGATTGTTAGGGGCTGGACGTTGTTACCATTGGCTGGTTGGTTGGTGGTGTAGGCACACAGTGTATTCATGGGCCTCATTCCTGTTCCCAGCAGGCAGTTATCCGTATCACACACCACTAAGTGGCCCCAATGGACTCCTTTCACACTGGCAGCAAAAGGCTTGATTCAAATCCAGACTGTCCCCAGGCTTTTGGGGTGTTCGGCTCAGGGTTTCAGTGCTGGCCCGTCTGCAATGGGGAGAGAGAGAACGCTCTCCGAGAAGAGCAACACTTCAGGCATGGGAGGCACTCGGATGCCCTCGTGGTGAGCACAGTTCAGGGGAAGGTTGGGTAGAGATGCTCAGCAGGCTGCAGTGATTATGGGGGACCTGGCCAGGAATGTAAATATGCTTGAGGGGATAACGATGCCTCATCTGCAGATAAGGAGCGGGTACCTGGGCTCTCCCAGCCACACACAGTGGGGATCTCCCTGCTCCACCCCTTTCCCAGCCCCCTCAGACTTCCTGTTTAACTAAACAGTTCCCTGCCCAGGTTTGTTTCATGAGTAGGACAAACTGGGTCAGATTCCCACCCACCTCTTCATGAAGGGAATGGGACAAGCCAAGCTACAGGGAGGAGGATGTGAAACTAGAGATCATGGCGATGAAGTTAATGCTGCAAGTGCGGGACAATTCATCCTGCCTGGAAGCCAGATTGAATCTTAGCCCCAAAGAACACAGCGGGCCTGAGCGAAGCCCATCATGAATCCTGGCTGACCTCTCCCCTGCTCACGAGGAAGGTCAGAAGGTGAAGCACTGCTAATGGGAGCATCCTGGGCTCTATCGCCCTAGGGACCTCATTGCATTACTCTGGTTAATTAAGCAGGGTGGGGGAGTGTATTGGATAAACCTTTGACCTGCCCCTGCCCCTCACTCTGTTCTGTATCCTCAATGGACCTGGCCTACATTTCACTCCGGGTGAGCAGGGTCAGGGGAGCAGCCCTGCCTCCAGGGAAACATCCAGCCTTTTCAGAGGCCGGTGAATGCCTTGTGGCTCTGGGTCCTGCCCAGCTCCCGCCTGGGGTCACTCACAGGGCAGCGATCATCAGCTTGGGGGAGGGTGAGTTCCCCACTCTGGCTCATTCAGACTGTGCTCACCTGCCCCGTTCCAACAAACACTGGACTCCAGATTCCCTAGGCAGATTTGAAAAGTTTTGTCCTCGGCATGGGGGTGGGGAAAGCACACAGAGGTCGCCAGGCTGCAGCCAGGTAAACGGCACTGGAGATACAGCTAGCAAGTGATGATGCCAGCCGTAAGAAAGTGCACGGTGAAGAATGCCTCCCCTGGCTAGTTATAGGACACTCCCAGCAAGAATGGTTAGTGCCAAGGAACTTCCCTGGCTCGCTGTGTATGAAATGACAGGCCCAGTCATTAGCCAGGCTGAGCTGGGCGGAGCCGGGGAACTGATTTGCCATTGAACTGCCTTGACTGAAGCTTTCTCTTCGTACAGAGACTGAGAACCAGCACCTGCCTGCTGCAAATGCTGCGGCTGCTCCTTGCCCTGCTGGGCTGAGCAGATGTCAGTGGAATTTCCAGCTCGCTGCAGTTGTCCTGAAGAAAAAGAGGTCCTGGCTTCCCCTGTCCCCTGGGAATGGGGCGACAGGGAAAGAGAAATAGTCTACAATCCCATGGCCTGTTTTAGCATGTCTCTCCATGCATCCCATCTCAGGCACCCGTGCCCCCACATACACAGATCCACACCTGCACAGACACATGCTGGCGTGCTTGCTTCCCAGACAACCAAGTTCATCCCATCTTTGTAGATTTCAAGGTCCTGCACAGATTCTCCCAGACCTAGGACTCGCATCTCATCTCCTATGCATCCTCAGCCCTGTCACTCAGCCAGTAACGCCTGCCTCGTCTCCTCTCTTGTTTCCTTCTTCCACTCCTGTCTTCCGACCTTCCCCCAAGCCCCCTCAGCCTCGCATGACCTCGCAGTGCAGTGGGCCAGCACTCTTGCCTCAGTCAGATTCCTCCAAGAGACATAGGAAAGTGATTGGTTAAGGGTTTTAAATGCCCTAAGGTGACTCTTCCCTCTGGGCCTCCCATCACTTCTTGTCTGTCTGCATCAGTCTTCTACTGAGTAACCTCTCCAGGGCAGCGGCTGCTTTGACGTTTGGGTTTTGTACAGCGTGTGGTCAGCACTTAATCAGAGCAAAACTCCATGCACATCCCTGGAACAACAGGGGGGTGGATTTGGCTGTGTCCCCCAGACTGATACATGTCTCGTTAATGCCCATGCAGCCCCCTATCCAGGCTCAGGCTAGATTGGGCAATGTTTCAGGGACGATTAGCCAAGGTGGAAGATTTCCCCCACCCCACCCCAAGCACCCCTGGAACTCAGCCAGGAAGGGTGAGCCAGACAGGCTCAGAAGTGTCCCCACAGGTGAAGATGAGGTGGTTGTGGGCAAGAGAGAGAGTACGGCCAGATGTCCTTATGTCGCTGCTCCCCATGTGCGTCCATGTCTCTTGATTGCTTTGCAGCCAGACGAGCGATTCCTGCTGCTAGCCAAGGGGGACGTTATAGCAATGGGAGAGCGAGCTGGGTTCCAGTCCAGCTCATGCCTAGGGCACTCAGTCACCACTCGGTCCATCGCCTTGGCTGTTGCGTGCAAACAGAACCGGGGGGAAGAGGAGGATCGGGAGCCTGGCAGTGGCTGTCCAGTCCTGCCCCCTCGCCTGAGGGCACTCACCCTGCTAGCACTTTCTCCAAAGCAGCACCGAGTCCGTGCTCCTGTGTCCGCTGGTGGGGTGGCAGGAGGAGTGGGAGGTAGAGCAGTGGGCTTTGCGCTGTCTCCTCTGCTTCGTTCAGCCAATGTTGCTCCCGGGAATCTTGCCATCCGGGGCTTGGCCTGTCAGCAAATGGCTGCTCTAAAAGCTACTTTCTGCGCTGGACTAATCCAGAGCTTAACCTCCCCTACAGTTTCAAGGGGGAGGGGAAGAGCTGCCAGATCCCCGCTGGCTCAGCAGTCTGAAGGCACGTCTGCTGAGGGACACTGAGGCTGAGGAATGGTGCAGGATGGACCAAGGCTCAGTAGGGGGAGGTTAAGAGTGTAAGCTCCCCGGGGCAGGGACTGGCTGGCTCTATGCAGAGCAAAGCATGTGGTCAGTGCTTAGCAAATAAAGGAGAAGACAAGCAGGGGCAAAGTCCTGCCAGTGTGCAGAGAGGCTGGGGACTGGGGAATACTCTCCCTAGAGAAGCGGTGACAGCCCCATCCATTGGGACGTTAGCAGTAGAGCAGAACAGACAAAGTATTGGAACATGCCCCTGCAAACAGATTCCACGGTGCAATGGCGCCAGGAAATCACCTCCTGGGGCCTTGCCACCTCCCGTTTCTGTGCTGCTCTCACCCGCCTGTGCCAAGGGCCCTCTGGCATCTCCCCCGAGCCGGCCTGGGCCAGGGCTGGGGAACGCTGCGGTTCCCCAGGACAGAGAGGGAGATGGACTTAGAAGCTGTCGAGATTCCACTTGACCCAGGAGGTGGGGCCCAGCTCACCTAGGGAAACGAGTCCTGCAACACCACAAACAATCACCCCGCAAATCAAGCAGCAGCCACCGGTTTAATACAGCCTTTAATTTCAAGGCTACTTTCACCAGGGGAATGACTGAGGGCTTTTATATAGAAACTCCACTGAGCCTGTGCTCAGGGATCCCTCTACTAGAAATGCAAAATGGACCCGTGCTGCATTCTCAGCCCGCAGTGCCCGGGGAACAGGACTGGGGAGAATTGGGGATTTGCTGCAATGGTTAAAATTCTTCCAGGCCCCGTGGCGCCATTGAACTGCAAGGTCAGTGACACTCGAAGCTGAGCTGCCATGACCCTGGGTGGGCCCAACTATAGCAGCTGCTTGTCTCCTGTGGGGCCAGCCAGCTGTCCTGACCTGTGGGACACTCCGCTCTCTGGGAGGGAACAGCAGGCCAGGACTGCCAGAGGCCACACTGGTTACTGGCCAGACGTGGGCTGGGCCATCTTGCCCTGGTGTCGGGGAAAGGGCAGCTACTAGCAGTGCTTGCTGTCTCCCATGGGTGGGGGCAGGGGTAATGCTTGCTATCCCCTGGGATAGTGCAGTCCTTCCCCAGGGCGCACAGGTATGGTGTTCATGGTAGCAAGGACTCCTCCGGGGTCGGGGTAAAGAGGACTTTCCCGGGGAGAGTGTGGGACCGGGTGGGATAGTGCTCACTATCTCCTGGGGGAGGGATGTGGTCAGGGCTCCCTCCTGTGTATGGGGGTGACAGATCCCTCCCCCTCTGCTCTGCAGACCTGCTGAGATCCAACAGCTCCCGCCTGTTGCTGGGCTCAGGGGATGGGCTGGCCTTCCAGTCCTTCCTGGTAGATGAGACCAGGGCGTGGCTGATGGTGGGAGCCAAAAACCACATCTTCCTGCTGCATCTGGACAGGCCAAATGAGGAGCCTCAGAAGGTCAGTGCCGGGTGGGCATGGAAACGCGGTCCCGAGGCAGCCCGGCTTAACCCTTCCCAGCAGCCTGGGGAGCCGGGAGCACAGCTCTGCGTGTCGGAGGGGGCACCGGTACTGCAAAGTCAGCGACCAAAGGCCTGTTATACACTGCCATTGGGGGGGCATTACACCCAAGCGCATGCAAGCCCTGGGGTACGCTGCAGCCCTCAGGGTGGCATTTGCTCATTCACATTGCCCCACGGAGCGGCACCGCTGGCTGGCTGGGCTGCGATTGTGTGTACTGACACGCACCTGCCCTTGCTTAGCACACGTCAGGGAAGCAGGATGGAGCATGAAGCACTCTTGGGGAGCAGCTCCAGCCCCCTTTGCGCAGCCCGACTGGTGCGGGACCACGGAGGAGGAGAGAGGCGGCTGGAGCAACACTCCCAGGCCTGTGCTTTCTCTTGCAGGTTTTCTGGCCAGCCCGCAAGGAGCAGGTGGAGCGCTGCCGGCTTGCTGGGAAGAACGCAGAGGTAAAGCAGGACCCCAACATCCTTGTTCAAAGCTCAGTGAGCCAAGGCCCAGGCAGGAATCTGCCTGACCCACGTGAGTCCACCCTGCCGAGAGCAGGAGGCTCATGGATCTGCAGCCAGTGGGAGCTCAGGCTGCCGGCACAGCTCCCTTAAACCCAATGTAACCTTTAACAATGGGGACAGTAAGCATACAGCTTTGGTCGGGGCCACCAGGCCACTGGCCTTGTCCCCATGGCTAGTGTTAGCCAGACATCGCCCACTCTTCTGGGCATCAGCAGACCTATGGGGAAGTGTACAGCAAATGGCACCAGGGCGTTCCCGTGCCCTGGGGAGGGGACATGCTGGAGACCAGTGTTAGAAGAGGTGAGGGGGCTCCAGGGGCAGGATCTGGAGCACAAAGGCCCAGGGCAATGGTGCTGGCGTTTGAAGGAACCTTTTCTTCCCGAGCAGACAGAATGTGCCAATTTCATCCGGCTTCTCCAGCCGTTCAACAGGAGCCACGTGTTTGCCTGTGGGACTGGCTCCTACCAGCCCATCTGCGCCTTTGTCCAGCTCGGATCCAGGGCACAGGTGAGAGAGACCCTGGAGGGTGAATTTGCCTGGGCCAAGGGCAGTGAGAAGATCCCAGGGTGTGCCTTCATCCCCACTGGGCTCCATGATGAATCCCAGGGTACCCACTCTCTCCTCTCTGGTGGGGCATGAGGAATTGCAGGGGAGGGGCGCACCTAGCTCAAGGAACCTGGTAGCACGTTTTGTGCAGGTGGCATGAAGGACCTCAGGAGGGGGGCAGCATGAAGGGGCCTAGGAGAGGGTGCTCACTCCCCTTTCTCCCCCAGCAGCAGGAGGGAGGCATTCCTGCAGCGGGACCCTGGGGCACACACACCCCTCGCAAGGGTCAATCCTCTCCAGACATCAGCTGCTCCCAGGCCAACAGCAGCTGAGCGACCCAGGCCAGGCCCTTAGTCTCTGACCAGATGAGCTTAACTCGGCCTGCTTGGGTTGGTGCCCAGCAGCATCCCTGCCTGATCATACCCCCAAGACCTTCCCTGTATTATGAGCTCTTAGGGAACAGGGACCATGTCTGCTTCTGCCCCCGGCCCCGTGAACACACCCATCCGATCCATACTAAGTGCTGCTAACTTGGCAGTGGCCGGCCAAGCAGGCCCAACGTGGCTCAGACCCCAGCATACAAGCATGTGCATCTGACACAACGTGGACTTTGAAATCTGGCAGGACTGCCCCAAAGCCGCTCAGATCAGTTCACTCCCAGCCTCTGCCTGGGCCAAAATCTCCCCTTTAACCCCTGCAGGAGCTGGGGGGCTCCCCGATACAGCTGGTGGCCAACTCTGTGGAATCTGGGAGAGGCAAGTGTCCATTCAGCCCCCACGAACCTTTCACTGGGCTACTCATAGGTAAGAGGAATTGGGGGGGGGGGGCAGGAAGAGGGGCCTAGATACTGTGGTGATAGGCGCATTAGAAATGAAGAAGGGTTAGACAATCAGCTCCATCCCCTGCCAATGATTCCTAACCCACATCCCGAATTCAGCTGTGGTTTCTGCCAGAGTGGAACCTGCAAGCTCCCTTTCACGGGGGAGCTCAGCCAGATGCCCAGGCAGGTGTGAAAGGCCAAGGCAGGATGTTAGCGCTGACAGGGACTAGGCAAGGAGTGACTGGCTGCACAGCGTCATTACAGCCGAGCTACTTACCTGGCACGGCTGATCTGGGGCTGGAACTACAAGCTGCCCAAGCTTGTGACTAGCTAGATCTAAGAGTGGAAGGCCCATCTGTCCGACAGCAGCTGAAGGCTGCCAATCTTGGTTCTGGAGCGTGATAGAGGCACTAGATTGTGCAGGAGGAGGCTGTAATAAGACCCTCTCCTGGCCCAGGGTGGTAGGTAAGGAAATTGGCATTCCCTGCCGAGCGATGAAGGGAATTGGTTTCATCTGCCCTGTATTTAGTTATTGCTAAGCTGTTGGTTCGTTAGGTGTTCGTTCTTGTTTTAATGCCGGAGAATTTCCAGCCCTCATTGCGTGGAGTGGAGTATTTACCTGGGGTTACCGTACTCAGCCAGCCAGTCCAAGATGCTGCCCCTGGCTCCATGGCCACCCACAGTAGCTCGTCAGAGCCGGCACATGTACCTCTCCCCACGCTGGGAATTACGCCTTCAGCCGCAGCGTAGTCATACCCTCAGAGCGCCTCAATCTCCCTCCCCAGCGACTACCTTGCACAGCCTGCCTTCAATTCGCAAAGCATTCACAGGGGAAGGCGGCAGATCCGCAGCAACCTTGGCCCCCTCTGAGACCCGCTCCTGAGCCGGGAATGCACAGGCCGCCTGGAGAAAAACCGACCCTCGTTCGGGGGCTGTGATTCTAGTTTTTATTCAAGCCCCTGCAAGGAAATCTGCCGTTACCTTGTCGCGGTCAGCTCATAGCTCCTCGGGCGAGGCTGACCCATGGCACAGTGCCCCGTAACCTGGTCTGTGCCTCCTTCCCCGGGGTGGGACTGAGGGAGGAGCTGGCTAAGTCAAAGCACCCGCCGGCTCTGCTAACCCGTGCTTGCCTCTCTGAGCTCAGACGGGGAGCTGTATTCGGGCACCTCCAGCGACTTCATGGGCAGCAGTGCCGCCTTCTTCCGGACCCGAGTTCACAAGGCTGCCCAGAACTACATCCGGACAGAACAGAACCAAGATCACTGGCTAAACGGTACAATGTGGGGCTGGGATATAGCCTGGCTGGGGGGGCCGTCCTACCCGGCAACATAATGGACTTAGCACTGCTGGGGAAGAGATGCAGGTGCCACATTTCCGGTGCTGCTGCAGGGGAGCAGGGGCTTGGTTTTCTCTCTCTGCTGCTTTAAGAGGCCCAGACCCCCTACTGTCACTTGGGCACAGGCCTCTGTTCGAGCACTTCAAACTACCCCTTCTGCTGCTGTCCCCTCCCATCCCCCGCCAGTCTCAGCCCTCAGGAGCTGCAGGGAGAAGGGCGGGGAGGTGCCCCCACATGACAGAGGAAAGACCCGGGTAGAACAGGACAACTACATGCCAAGCAGCTCCAGCTGCCTTTGGGCCAAAGCCCCAGACTCACTACAGGGCACAAGCTCCCTTTGGTGAGTAACTCAGCCTAGATTCACTCTGACGTTCTTCAGATCTCCGGCCCACAAAGATGGAAGGTGCTGCTGAAACCCAGCCCCGAGTGAGATCGGCTTGTGTAACCCACTGCTCTGTGGGTGTGTGACAGGGCTCCTCTGTGCCCCATCCACAGAGGGGGCAAGTCAGCTGCAGGCCCAGCTAGGGAACATTAGCTCAAGTGGAAGCAGCTCAGACTGTTGGCCCTAGAGGCCCAATTTCTCAGCCATCACCCCTGCATTGTTCAAGGGAAGTTTTGTGAGACTATCAAAAACCCACAGAGCATTTTGGATCAAACCTCAGGCCACAATGATCTTGTCAGGAAGAAAACTGAGATGGTCTGAGAGGGTAGTGCCGAATGCCAGTCCCACTGGGGAGGACAAGTGCAAAGGTGAGATACTGCCAGCATAGCTTGGTTTGAGCAACACCCTCGCCCTGCGTGACGTCTTGCTGAAATCCAGAACAAGCAATGGCTCCACGTGTGTAAGGATCTTATCACATGGCAGCAAAAATGAATGCGATGGGAAGCTAACGGTATTCCCACTCCCCTCTTTGTTTGCTGGGGTGCTCCTTGGTTCCAGCATCTCCCTTCACTTTAGTAAAGCTTAGACGGGTCTGGATCAGAGCCCCAGCTCCAAAGCCCAGCAGGGAATTTCAGAGCCAGGTGCCATTGAGACCATTGCATCATTTAAAGCCAGAGCAGAGCCAAGTCTGTCAGAGGAAAAGGGGACATGGCCAGAGGGTATGGGTATGGGTATGGGTCAACCTGCTGGCATGGTGCCATTGGCTGCCGAACTTTCCCTTCTCCCAGAGCCCGTGTTCATCGGTGCCTACGTGATTCCCGACACCCACAACGCCCACGATGACAAGGTGTACGTCTTCCTCCGGGAGACGGCCCTGGAAGCCGGCCAGTGGGAGAAGCGGCGCATCCATGCCCGGGTGGCGCGCGTCTGCAAGGTCAGCCACCCCAGGATCAGGGCACGGCTGCGGAGCGCTACCAAGTGGCAGGGGAGGGGCATGGCACTGTCCTACTGGGAAACGAGGGCTTGTTTCTCTCTCCTTTTGGCAGGGCTCCTTGGGCTCAGCACTGGCCTTTGGGGAGAGGGATGGAAGTGGTTAGAGAAGGGATTGGGAGTAAAGAGACCTGGGTTTTGTTTTGCTTTGTTGCCCGCTCTGCCACTGATTGGGCAAGTCATGTCCCCTGCCTTGCTTTGTGAAGCTGAGACGCTGGGCTGGGGAGAGTGGGGTAATCGCCCATCCCACCCTCCCTGAGCTGTGGGCATGTCAAGGTTAACAATGGTGAAGGGGGAGGTGACCTGGGGCAGGGAGCGGGCATGGAGGGTTAACACTAGAGGGAGCGAGGGGGGGGGCATAGCAAGCGTCCTCTGAGCGGTGGGTTTGTGGCTGGCAGAACGACGTCGGCGGGAAGCGCAGCCTGATCAATCGCTGGAGCACGTTCCTCAAGGCCCGGCTGGTCTGCTCCATCCCAGGCCCCCAGGCCAGCGAGACACACTTCGACCAGCTCGGTGAGTGGGGCGCGCGGGCCCGCCTAGGGCTGCCATTCCTCAGGGCCCACGGCATGGTCATTTGGGCTGGGATCGTCCCAGAGGCGACCCACTGAGCCGTAGCAGGGACTCCGAGCACCTTGCATCACCACAGCAGCCCTGGCTGCCGACTGAAGGGTGCCGGCTGCTGCTTGCTCCTTCGCCAGAGCGAGTGGGGCACAGTCACTGGCGTGGGAGAGGGGAGGGGGCAAAGGTCACCTGATGAAAGCCCCTCACCCTGCTCCCTGGGCCCAGAGCTGGGTCCCTGAGAGCGTGTGCTCAGGACTCCTCACCTGCTGTCATTGCAGAGGATGTCTTCCTCCTCCGCACCCGGGACCCACAGAGCCCTCTCATCTTTGGCCTCTTCACGGTCTCCAGGTCAGTGTGAGCGGGTAGGCCGAGGGGAGAGGAGGGAAGAGCAGAGCAAAGGGAGCAGCAGGGGACGAGGCTCTCGCACAAACGCAGTGAGACCGGTGGCCGGACAGCGTGGAGGCTGTTACTAGCCAAGCGCCGGGGCGGGGCAGGGGAGAAGAGGGACACAAGGTCTCTGTGGGAGGATGCACGAAGCCCACGGCAAAAACAGACCCCACTGCAGAGCCTCCTAGCCAATCCCGCTCCCCTGGGACCGTGCCAGCCCCTCCCTGCCTGCCCCCATTAGCTAGCGCTGGTCTCCCGAGGATCGCAGGGCAGTGACTGGTGGGTCAGTGGTAAATGGACGTCAGCCTCTCCCGTGCAAGCAGCAGCTCTCTAGCCCTAGGCTGGGTGGCTCAGCACCAGCTGTACCAATTAGTGCTGGTGGATCATAGAATATCAGGGTTGGAAGGGACCTCAGGAGGTCATCTAGTCCAACCCCCTGCTCAAAGCAGGACCAACACCAACTAAATCATCCCAGCCAGGGCTGTGTCAAGCCTGACCTTAAAAATCTCTAAGGATGGAGATTCCACCACCTCCCTAGGTAACGCATTCCAGTGCTTCACCACACTCCTAGTGAAATAGTGTTTCCTAATATCCAACCTAAACCTCCCCCACTGCAACTTGAGACCATTACTCCTTGTTCTGTCATCTGCTACCACTGAGAACAGCCAAGCTCCATCCTCTTTGGAACCCCCTTCAGGTAGTTGAAAGCTGCTATCAACCTCCCCCCTCCCCCCTCCCCCCACGCTCTTCTCTTCTGCAGACTAAATAACCCCAGTTCCCTCAGCCCCCTAATCATTTTCGTTGCCCTCCGCTGGACTCCCTCCAATTTGTCCACATTCTTTCTGTAGTGGGGGGCCCAAAATTGGACGCAATACTCCAGGTATTACGCAATACTCCTCACCAGTGCCGAATAGAGGAAAATAATCACTTCCCTCAACCTGCTGACAATGCTCCTACTAATACAGCCCAAAATGCCGTTGGCCTTCTTGGCAACAAGGGCACACTGCTGACTCACATCCAGCTTCTCGTCCACTGTAATCCCCAGGTCCTTTTCTGCAGAACTGCTGCCTAGCCAGTCAGTCCCCAGCTTGTAGCGGTGCCTGGGATTCTTCCTTCCTAAGTGCAGGACTGTACACTTGTCCTTGTTGAACCTCATCAGATTTCTTTTGGCCCAATCCTCCAATTTGTCTAGGTCACTCTGGACCCTATCCCTACCCTCCATCATATCTACCTCTCCCTGCAGCTTAGTGTTCTCTCTACGGCTTCAGAGCACTGCTGGCAGAAGCTGGCAGGAACGGAGGGAAGCTCAGGCAATGGACCCCACTGAAGCTGCAGAAAGGGGCTGCCCGGTCTGAGCCCTGAGTTGGTTAAACCACAGCAGTGTTGCACACAGACCAGGCCTCTCGCGCTGGCTCCCATGGCGGCCGCATTAGAGTCCGATGCTCAGGCTGGTCTGTCTCCTCTCTGGCAGCGGGATCTTCAGCGGCTCTGCCGTGTGTGTCTACTCCATGGCTGCTGTACGAGCTGCTTTCAGCGGGCCCTTTGCACACAAGGAAGGAGCTGACTACCGCTGGGTGGAGTACAAGGGCCGGATCCCCTACCCCCGTCCAGGGACAGTGAGTGTGGGACACAGGGCGGGGTGGGGGGCGGGGCTGAGAGGTTGGTGACGGCAGGGGAAGGGGTTGGGTCACTCTGTGCTTTAAATTCCCTCCTCTGTTTCCATCTCTCCCACAGTGCCCCAGCGAAACGTACGACCCTCTTTTCCACTCCACCAAGGACTTCCCTGATGACCTGATAAGCTTCATGCGCAACCACCAGCTGATGTGGAGCCCCGTGTACCCCCTTGGCCGGAAGCCCATCCTGGTGAGGGCCAACGTGCCCTATCGGCTCCGGCAGCTGCTGGTGGACAGGGTGGAGACAGAGTCTGGGCACTATGACATTCTCTTCCTTGGAACAGGTAGAGGCTCCGGGATCTTTACCACCAGCTCTGAATGTACCTTTTCCCCTCTCCTGCTGGACTGCCACTGGTGAGAGCGTGTCCCGCCCCTGCCGGCACCAGTGAAAACCCCCCACTCTGCCCACACACCAGCCTGCCCCACTGAGCTGTATTAGCTCCTCAGCCCCACCCTAGCAGGGTCCTGTCCTCTCTCTGCACCAGTCCGTGGGACTCTCAGACTGAGCAGCCAGCATACCTCAGCCCTGCCCTGGGGACAGTGACTCCCTGTCCTGTGGTGCTAATGATGTGTACAGATGAACATGAGCGTCCCTGCCCCCAGAGAGCTAGCTGTGTATATATCACTGGTACATACACAGGTAACCAGAAGCTGGACCCTTCAGCTTCAAAAGCACAAGGCCCACCCCAGAGCAGGTCAATTATCGTATCTAGAGTAGCCACTAGAGGGCATCACTCACTTCCCACTCCATCCTCACTGGGGCCTGACCTTGAGCTCTGTAGGTGGCTATGGGGGAGTTTGCAGATGTTCAGGGCTAGCAAATACTGCAGGCGCTTGCTCCATGCCCCGTCGGCAGCCCCCAGGAGTGGGATCTGCCAGCAAGCTGCAGATAGTCACGATGCAGCCTCTTACCAAGAAGAGAACTGGGTAAAGGCCAGGCCTTGGTGCAGTCTGGCTTCTGTCTCCCTTGCTACACTTAGCAGGTCTCTGACTCGGTCTCCTGGCACTGATGGCTCTGAGGAGACGGGACAATGAGGAGGAGGGATGAAAGGGCAGGCGGCTAGCAAAACCCACTTCTCACAGGGCTGGTCCTGGCAGGTCAGCTTTGGCTTGCTCAGAAGTCAAGTCTGATCTCTTCTCCTGCTGAATCCGAAAGGAGAAGACAAAGTACATGTGCTGGCTTGGAAAAAGTCCCCCCTGCCTGGGGAGGACTCTTAATAATTATCCTTCCCTGAGCTAGTAATGATCTCCTCCCTGGCCCTGAGCTAGTAATGATCTCCTCCCTGGCTGGAGAGATCATTACTGGCTCAGGGAAGGAAAGAAGCTCCGTAGCAGCTGATAGCTGCGGCACCTCCCCCTCGAGCACTTCCTGAGGGGGCTCTCACTGGGTCTAGTGGGATTGTGATGGCTCCCCGGTTGCTTCCCCAGACGAAGGCAAAGTGCTGAAGGTGGGGCTCACCGGCGGGAGAGGCCAGGACAGCGAGGAGATCAGCCTGGAGGAAATCAGTGTCTCTAAGGTACCCATCCCACCCCCTTTGGGTTCTCCGATTGCCCTGAGGGGCTAGACTGGCTCCTGGGGGAACTGATTCCTCTAGAGGCCTCAGCTGCAGGATCTGGGATGCTTGTGCATGGCCATTGAAAGTGGCTGCAACAGTGCAGCTTCCTCTGCAGCTGGGGTCTGCACTGGGGGAGTGTCTGGCGGGGCCAGCAGCCTCTCCCAGCCTGGCTGCTGTGGCTGAGAGCTGCTCCTCCCTCAGGGCCAGCCAGGCCCTTGCTCTTTCCTGTCCCAGCCCTCAGTTGCAGCAGCCATGGGCAGAGCTCATGCAGAGCCGTGCCACAAATAGCCAAGGGTATGGGGTGACCACATCCTGGAGGCTGCACCCCGGCCCCTCCACCCGGAGGCTCAGAGCCTCAGCGCTGTAGTCTCAGAGGGCCTCACCCTCAGTCAGAGGCAGTGCTGTTACCCCCATTGCACAGACAGGAAACTGAGGCACAGGGTAGCGTCAGTGAGTTTCCCAAGATCACACAGAGCCTGGGTCAGAACCTGGCGCTGGATCCTGACCTCTTGTCTATTTCCTGCTAGAATTTAACCCATTCAAGCACAGGGCTGATCCTAGAATAGCAGGGGCTAGGGTACATCAGGCTGGAGGTGCACTGGCAAAGCAGGGCGGACGTGAGGGATCCAGCACTGGACCATCTGGGGCTGCGGTGGCTGAACTCAGCTAGGAAGCTGGGCAAAGATCTACCCAAGCTCCAGTGCGGTCCTTTCTCCTCTAGGTGCCATCTCCCATCCTGGACATGCAGTTCTCACCAAAGCGGGTAAGGCCTCATTAATGACCATTCACAAAGCCCTATGCAGGGCCCAGTCACACCATGCAAGACAAGGATGCGACTCCCAGGCTCTCCAGCCAGGAACCACACACTAATGCAGACATTCACATGCTGCAGCTGTGTGGGACAGGATCCCCCACTCCAGGGCACCAGGTGCCAGGCATGGCGCTGGCCGTTTCCAGCTGTCAGGGTCAGGCCCCCCATTGCATGGCACCAGGTGCAGTGCTGCCCAGTTCCAGCTGGGTCAGGTGCCCCATTGCATGGTGCCAGGAGTGGCATTGCCCGAGTCCATGTGTGTCAAAGTGCCCCAATATGAGTCAGGTGCCTACTCCCTGCACTAATCCATGAAGAGCTAGAATAGCTGGTTCCTTCACTAGCTAGGAACTGAGGTGTGGGTCCAGCCCTGCTCCCAGGCTGCTGCGTGCCACTCCTCTATGGAAGGGGAGCCAGGGGTGCTGACAGCCATTCTGGTTCCATGAGCAGCAGGAGCTGTTTGTGAGCAGCACCCATGGGCTTGTCCAGCTCTCCCTGTACCGCTGCGAGCTCTACGGCAAAGACTGCGCTGACTGCTGCCTGGCCAGAGACCCCTACTGCACCTGGGACGGCAAGGGCTGCAGCCCCTACCGGCTGACTGAGAAGAGGTGAGCCCTGCCCTGTTCCCTTCACACAGTGTCCACCGTCGCTGGCTGTTTGCTTGGAGATGGGAAGGGGGAATTCAGGGCTAGTTACACACCCTGCAGTCTGGAGCCGCTCCCCAGCAGCCATGGACACCACCCACCGTACCAGACATTGCCCTGGCTTCTCACAGTCAACAATCCAGAACCGCAGCAGCCCCTGCCTGTTCTTGTCCGGGGCCTTCCAGACACACACCTGCCGATGCCTCTCCTTCCAGACCTGCAGCCTCCTGCTATTCCAGTCCTGGGCCCCACACAGCCCCACCAATAAATCTCCATTTGACGGACGCCCTGCAGTAGGCACCTAGCTCACTGAGTGTGTTATCTCATTGCACTCCACACAGGCGAGCACGCTGCCAGGATGCGCTGAAGGCCGACCCGGTCAGTCAGTGCCAGGACACCACAGCGGGTGAGAATCAGCCACTCCGGCACCCCTCTCCCACAGGCTGCATGCTGCCTAGCGTGGGCTGCTCTCTGCCATAGAGGAGGGAGCAGGTGGGGGTGAGGCAGAAGCCCCAGCCAGCCTCGGGTGCCTCCAGCAGGACTGGCCATGGGTGGGGCAATCCCGCCCCATGATGGAGACATTGCACCAATGCCACATCATGGTGCATCTGCACGCTGTACCACGGCACCGCGCGGTGAGCTGAGCATTGGGGTGCTGACAGCCCCGGGAAGGGCCCCCCCCATGCTGGCAGCAACGTACAGAGACGGCGCTCCTGCGTGGCTGCTGGGGATAGCTACCCCCAGGCTTGTACAGTCACATTGGACAACGCACTTCCCCAGGAAGTGTTGCCTGCAAAACTGAACCCAGCTCAGGTCCAGGGCACAGCGTGTGAGCAAATCTAGTGACAGGCGGCCGTTGACATGGGGCTGGGTGCGGCCGAGTAATTAACCAGCAAACAGTGAGCAGAGGAAAGTATCTTGGGATGGCCAGCTCCATTTCCATAAACGCTGTCCCCCTTCCAGTCACTCCCCAGTATGCCAGGCCGGGAAAGCCGGGATTTACATGGCTCTGCAAACAGCATGTCCTCCGCCTGTGTTCTGGGCACTGCCAGCTGCGTGTGTGCAAAGACGAGGTAGAGCAAGTCACCTCACACACACCCCCAGGCCCCTTTTCGTGCAGCAAAAGGTGGTTGTATTGTTGCCAATTACATTTCTGCCCTCCTGCCCCCAAGTGCTCTAGCCAGAGATGGCCCAGCCGGAACGTGGGACTCTCTCAGCAGGTGTGTGGGGCTATTGGAGCAGGTGGGGCCAGGGCAGGGCTGCTCCAGGGGATTAGAGCAGCAAGGGTTGTGGGGCTGGTTTAGAGAGCTGGGGAAGAGGGGGTGCTGGTTCAGGGCATGGAGAGACTCGATGCACCAGGCCCCAGGGCTCTGCTCCCCCCACATGCACATGTTCTTGCAGGGGTCACTGCAGCTGAGGAGAAGCTGGTATTTGGTGTGGAGAACAACTCTACCTTCCTCGAGTGCCTGGCACGCTCTCCCCAGACTGCCATTCGATGGCTCGTGCAGCGCAGCAAGGAGGCAGCCCTGGACGAGGTACTTGGGGAAGGGAAAAGCTAAATCGTGGGGAGTGGTATGGCCAGGCTCCCATGCTCTGCCCCGGAGGGGGCATGGCGATGAAGAGACACTGCCCAGGACTCCCTGCTCCACCCTGGTCCCTCAGAGGGGGGGACGCAGCTCAAGTCTCTGCCCCTCCCCAGTCCCTCAGAGGGGGTAGGGCAGCGGGGGGGAGGGGGTGCTGCCCAGGCCTAAGCGTGGCCCAGTGCACAAGCAGCTCAGCTGGCACAGTCCCCACACAGGCAATGCCACCGCCCCCGACTGACGAGCAGAGCACGTCGCAAGCTGCAGCCCTGGCTCCCTCCCAACAACCCCTGGGTAGCATCTCAGGGAGCTCTGCTTTGGCCCCTCCCTGTGTCTGCCGCAGGTGAGGACCGGTGACCGCTTCTCCACCCTGGAGCAAGGGCTCCTGATCCGCCAACTGGCGAGAGAGGATGCCGGGATCTATCAGTGCCAGGCAATGGAGCGTGCCTTCTCCCGCCCCCTCACGCACTACAGCCTTCGTGTCATTGGCCACGAGGCCATGGGGGCCAAACAGAGCAAGGGGGCCGAGGAGGGAGGCAGCCACCTGAGCACCGTGCCCATGCAGCTCCAGTACAAGGGCTACCCGCGGACCCTGGGGGCACCCAGCCCCAGCTTGGACGAGTACTGCAATGCGCTCTGGCACCAGGAGAGGCAGCGGCAAAAGGCCTGGAACCCCAAGTGGCAGCAGCATTCCTTGGAGAGCAAGAAAGGCCGAGCGCGGAGGCATCCCAACCCCCTGAAGCCAGCCAGAGCTGGGCTGAGACTAGTCTGAGCTCCGCACAGTGCCCTCTGCAGGGGGAGCAGGTCACTGAAGCAGTCTCCATTAGCCGGCCACGTCTCCAGAGCCATTCTGCATGCACAGCCCTGCACACAGGTGCCAGCTCAGCTCAGCTGCTGCCAAGCTCTGCCTGCTGAGAGGCCCACAGACTCGTCATGTACTACCTCAGCTGTGACACTGCCCCTTGCCATCTCCTGGAGCAGGCCAGCGGCCAGTGCAGATGCTCTCAGACACCCCCAGACGAATGGGGCTGCTAAGTCCAGGAGGTGCTATACCAGGGACTTTGCAGCCACGGCCTGGAGCAAACAGTCTGGTTACTAGGCCGGCTGACACAGACTGATGTGACGCGAGGACTTTAAACTATTTACATACCATGAAATATTTATTCTCTGCATTTTCCTTCTGTCATTTTCTTATTATGCCTCTTATTATTGATAAATACTGGAAATTAAACAGAAGGGAAACCCATGTTTCTTACCAGTCTCCCTTGTTATGGGGAATTGATATCCGGCCTCAGTAATACACTTCTCCCTCCGCCCTGGTGGAGCACAGAGCCCCCCGCCCCTTCAGGCAAGCACTGCAAGTCAGTTAGGGAGGATGACACATGGGCTAGGGGATAGGGCACAAGCTTGAGGAGGGAGGAGTTTGGAGTTTTGGTCCCAGCACTGCTACTGACTCAGTATTTGGCGTGGGGCAAAATGGGAACAACCATAATTACCTCTCTCACTGCAATGTTTAACTAGTTATATTTTCTCCCTTCCAAGCCATCTGGTCTTGTTGGAGAAACCTTCTGCAGTGCTGCACTGCTCTTGTGAGACCGAGGCAGCTGGAATGACTCTCCTTGCAGAATGGTACCAATGCTGGGAACTCGAAAGGCAGATGTTAGTCTTGGGTACCAGAGCGGCATAGCATTAATCAGGGAGAGTTTCCGCGCTGGGATCCTCCAACCCGGGAGAAAACCAAACAACATACATGTGGGGACACCCATCCAACAGGCCATTTACCATGATGGCGGCAGCGACAGATGATGTGAAGCCATGACAAGGCCATTATACCCTGCAGGCAGGCTCCAGGCTGTCTCTTGCTGACAAAAGGATATTAAACCTGCAGCATGGTATAAAAGTGGGAACAAGCTATAACTGGCCCCATCCCAGGAGCACAACAATTTTCTGGTATCGTGTGCTGGGACATTAATATACACAGCTTTGTTGGCCAGGCTTGGAGCCTATCTGAACTAATCTGTGCCTTAAGACCTTTCTGAGCCCCTCAAGGGCAGGGCAGACAATAGTTACCCCTTCCACTCCTTTCTTCTGAGGCAGAATTTTAGGACCTTGTGAACACCACATGGAGTTGGCATAGCTGAGGCTTGGGACGAAAGGCACACGGGGAATTACACTGGTTCGTGTGAAAGGCAGAGCTGAGTTGACTATCAGAATAAGATTTGAGTCTAATCTCTCAAGGAAAAGTGGAGAAAGGTTCCTTAAGGGAAAGGGCCTGGAGTTTGCTAACGGGCAGGGGAAGGACATACTGGGTTTTGGAAGGAAATATGATGTCTAGCCATCCATTTGAATGAGGCTATAGGGGCCTTGAGAATGAGTGTTAGGTTCAATTGTTCACGGTGCGGGGTTCGTCAGGAACTTGTTGATATGAAGGTGCAGGACTATGTGGCATGTCTGCCTTAGGATGAAAGGGCTCTGAGGGCGCACGCCAGAACTAATTAATTCAGAGGAAAATCAAGGTAGTTGGGACAGGGGTGCAGAACAGGTCTATGCTGGAGTCCCGTCCCTGCAGCTTTGCTCTCATTGCCCTCACGCTGGGAGCAAGTACATAAGAGCATGACTGATTCACAGTAACAAAGGGAATAAATCCCTTGCAGTAAGTATTCTGCCCTCTTACTTGTACAAAATAATGGAGTGTTAATACCAAAAGTCCTCACAGCAGCCCAAGGATATTAAACATTTGCTGAAAAGAGGCGTGATTCTGTTGGGATTGTGCATACTTTGAGAACTATCCATTTTCACGTATCACCGATCAAAGTGAAATTTACCACAGCCCCAATTCAGCAAAGCACATGCTTGAAATTAAGTCCCATTGAATTCAATGGGAGTTAAGCACATGCCTATGTGCGTTACTGAATCAGAGGCCTGACATCCTAAATGCACCAGGCTTTGTCTCTCTAACTCCAGAACAATCAAACTCACTAAACCTCTTCCCAGCTCCCTGGCTCCATCAGCACATACATGCAAGAATTTGTGAACATGCAAATCCAAACCAAAGTCATTTTAGACAACAGTCGCTGTTGTTTTTTTTAATTTTGAAGTTTATTTTACCAAAAAAAAAAAAGGAGAGAGAGAGAGCCAATCGGCAGTTATACCAACTTACAATTTATTGATTTTTTTAAAAATGACATGAAACACAAGTAAAAATAAATACATCATATAAACAACAAATTGTTCAAAGTCTCTGTTCTGGGAGATCAGTGAGCACGCTCCATTAGACAGAGAGAAGAGGGAAGCACATGTGTGCAGCCGGCCAACCGACCCACCCTGCTACAGTAACTCCTCTTTCTGATCACAAAAGACAGGCCACAAACTAAGGCGGTATTAAAAACAGAAAAAACAAAATAAAAAACAAACATCAAAGGATTAGCTCACGCTCCCCTATACAAGCAAATCTACCAGAGAGTTTCTGAATGCAAGCTGGATGGCTAACAATACAAGATCCAAGACACAGTGCAGCTTTGGGCAGCTGTTAGTGGTATTGTTTCAGTACAGGGGGAATAGGGTGGAGCATATGGGGATTTCTTCCCTCTATTCCCTCCACCCTACACAGTTGGTTGATCACCCCCCACTTACAACATCCTCTCCCTTTGCAGATGGGTTTCTTTTCCTTTTCAGCTTGCAAGGAGCCATTCCCAGTGTATCCTAGTTGGACTAAATTCCCCCCACCCTCCTTTCCCCTCAAATTTGGACTACCTGATCTCACTTGAGAGAGCAGAGAAGCACATTCATTGTGAATGGAGTTGCTGTATTTTACCACTTTCTCTTCGCAGAATGTCCACAGACCATGATTTTCTCTAATTTAGCAATTATTTGAAGTTATTAGCAAACATTTATCTGCTTACTGGTGCAAATGCCCATGGAAAACCAACCTGAATTTGCTCGCCAGAAGTATTCAAATGTGCAAGGTGAAGGGAGCTCTCCCATCAGTATTCACACTAGTGAAATTCAATCACATGATTGTTCCCGGAAAGCAAAGTGAATTCTTTCATTCCCAGCAAAGCTTGAGAGAAGCTCGTTTGGCAGTTTTCACCCAGCTTCGTCCCCAGATGGGAATGGAACTGAATGTGAGATGCTCCATCCTGCAGAACTGCGTGAAAATACATTGCCCAAGACTGGACTGAGATTAGGTACATCCTAGAAAACTCACAGAAACATCACAGTTATGAGGTCACCTCTTCCCCTAATTCTGTCTTAGTGTCTTGTACTAGTACAGAGTGGAATTTGCCCTGATATCCCTGCTGCTCCATAAACTGCCATCTAAACAGTTCAGCCTAAGTAAGTAAAATCTACTTATTATAGTTAGATACTGACTGAAAGGGGCAGCCAAAGTACAACCCAAGGATTGCACAAGTCGCCAGGGCTTCTGTGCTCTGCCCAGGAATCTTCCTTAGTGTCCAAGTGCTTATCGGAGAGCCCCTGTTCTACTCTCAGTGTTATCTGCAGCACAAATATGAACTATAAGTTACTTTGGTCAGTCCACTTGGAGTCAGAAAATTTAACCGAGACAGCCCCATCACAGGGGATCAGGAAAGAAAAGAGGATCTATGTGTCAGCTAGAGAAAAGATAGGAGTCTGGAAAGGAGAGATCAGGGAAAGAGGGAAGACGGAGGGTTGTGGAAGAGGAACGAGGAGACTAGGGCCCAGTCTACACCTAAAACTTAGGTCCACCTAGCTACGTCGCTCAGGACTGTGAAAAATTTCACACCGTAGTCAGGTCGACCTAATCCCCAGTCAAGACACAGGTAGGTCAATGGAAGGATTCTTTCATCCATCTAGCTTCCCCCTCTTGGAGAGGCAGAATACCTACAGCAATGGAAAAACCCTTCCATCCGTGCAGGAAGAGCCTATACTATGGCGCTACAGCAGCACAGCTGTGCCACTGTAGTGGCTGTAACGTAGACATACCTTAGGTAAGAAAGTGTTGTGGAACAGGATTCAAAGAGGTCTCCATTGTCAATACCACCTCTGAATTTCCAAGACATTCTTGAAGATTATAACATCATCAGATAAAGGACTTTCTGATCTTCTATGCCAAAGTCATTAAATAATTCTGATTCCTGGTCTCCGTCATTAAACAGTTCTGATCCATGGTCTCAGTCTGCATTCTCTGCACTTCATGTACTCAGAAGCACGAGAAGCTGCACCTTCCTGGAAGATGTTGCACACCCAGTGGAACTCAGTGGTCAGCATCTGGGTGATGGGGGTTTCTTCAGCACTAACAGAAAACTAAGGGCAGAGGAAATCACCTTCACAAACCTTCCTTCACTCCAGGTGATGAGATCATCTCTCCCAAAGGTTGTGATGCCCCAAATCAATGGGGTTTCATCTTTAAACCACTAGCTAGCGTTTGGGAGATGACACATGGAAACTGGGAGAGTCGGTGGGGAAGGAGGTAGTCTGGATTGAGCATTTGTCCGGATGGAGCAGGAAGGAGAGAGGGACCCACCCACCGAGTGCTGGCTGGGGTACAGGATGGGGGTTCAACCCAGGCACTTGTGGGGCTAATTAGTCTCCAGCAGTTTATGGAGGATGTGCACTCTAAGCACTGAATGTACTACGAATAGACAGGCGGAGACAGAAGTTTGCCAGGGACAGAGAAAGGTCCCTGTTTACAAGAGTCAATTTAATGCAGGAATCTGCACAATGCAAAAAGAGCATTAGTTTTGCTTGCTTTCTTGACTGAATACAAAAACCAGTGTTCAAAACAAGCACAATTTTAAACCTACTTGCTTGCAGAAAGTAAATATTCCATGTGAAACAACACTGTCATCCAGTGGCTGGGGAAGTAAATTACAGGGGTCCATTTCCTATGGCTATCAGAGGATCCATCAGTCTCCAGTTCCTATGGCTACAGAGCTTGGTTAAACTAATCCTAGGTGCACCTAATCCTGTGAGCAGAAAAATTCCCATATTCCACCCACCAAAGTGAGGGTGTGCCAGAGGCCTGCCCAATTCAGTACCATCCAAAGTGCCCTCCAGAGGCCTCTGGTACTTTCCTCGTGAGACAATGAGCAAAGTCTCTGTGAAAGCTGCTGCTATTTCAGGTACAGCATCCAGAACCATACGTTAACCTACTGTTTAGAGTCAAATCTGTATGCCTCATCTGAGCAGAGAAAAGACACACAAAATGCCCCCATTACAAAGAACTAGCAGGATCATTCAGATTAAAAGTGCCACCCTGGCACAAACAACGAAGGAACCATACTCCATGCCAAGGGACTCTGGTTAAAAGGTCTGCTCTAACCTAAATCAACAGTTGCCTTCCACAAGTATTGTTTAGATTTCCCCCAGGTCTGAATCCTCGCTACTCTTGACAAGAAACCCCCTTGCCTAGGTCCGCTTCCCAAATCCACTAGAGCTTTTGAGAGCCTTACAGAGATACAACAGACAGCTGTGATACAATCAGCGTCACAGTATTTTGCATAAGATGGACACACAAACTGCAAAGGGCATGACTTACAGATGCAGCACTGTCCAGTGTTTGGAGTGGACACCATCAGTTAGTTTGCTTTGTTATTGGGTGAGGGGTGGAGTGGGGGGAAGGGGGAGTTTGTTTATTTCCATGGTACATCCAAAGACAAGCTGTTCAGAAGTTTGCTCAGAACCCCTCGGTTTTCAACTCCTAGGATATGTTAAAGAAGAAAGCACTATTTCAATGTTTGTTTTTAAAATAACTTGCATAGCTAAACTGTAGATCTAAGGCTTCTATGAATGGTGTGGTTACGTCTGACAGACAAGTTCCATTAAAACAGAGAAAGACAGAGAGAAAGCCCCATAACGTCCTACTTTTGTCATGGTACACACAAACACACACACACACGCACCGCACCACCTTCCCTCGATAAAGCAGTTCCCCTTTCTTCACAGCTACCTTACACAATATGCCAGAATGCCTTGTCCCTCCCTCCTGAGCTGGTCTGAGTAGACCTCAATAACCGTACTGAAGCATCAGCCCTGGAGGTTTTCCCATCACAGGTTTGTGCCAACAGCTGTCATTGGTCCAATGGCATGGACCACTTTCCAAGGACATTCAGAGTCTCTCTCGTTCCCTGAGGTGGTGACACATAGGTCCAGATCCTCAAAGGTATTTAAGATTCTAACTTCCATTGAAGTCAACGGGATTTAGGAGCCTACATCCCTTCGAGGACCTGGGCCTTTGAGCAGGCATTGAGTTTCCAAGATTACTCAGCAGTTACCAGTGCATGAGCACGCACACAGTGGACAGGATGTCAGGCCACCTAGCTCAGGTGCCCAAACTCATGCAAATGTGGCATTTCAATGCCAAGAGCATGATTTGCCTGCAGACACCAAGAGCTGAACAGTCAGTGCAATTTACTCTCTGTGCTCTCGCTTTTCACTCTCATGTGACACCTCTCTAGTTGGGAAGGGCTGGAGCCCAGCAACAGCACTCCACATGTCAGCCAGGGGGTCCGTTAAGCCAATAGGAGCTCAAGCCTGCTGCCATGAGATCCCCAAGCCCACTTGTCATGAGCCGAGACTCCTCCTCTCCCTGAGAGATTGGTTAGCACGCTAATTTCTCAGCCGCCCAGCAAACACTGTGCCAGAGTGATCCCAACCCCAAGACCAGAGGTTTCTCATTATCCCTTGTACTGCACGGACGCGCCACTGTCACACGCTCCCCCAAAGGGGTGTATATGGCACAGGCAATGCCACATCACTGTAACAACCAAACAAGGGAGCTGGCTACTGGGGAACGTTCGCAGTTGGTCCTGCTTTCAGATTATGCTTTGGTCAAATGGTCATTATGTCTCGTCTCCCCCATACAGACAATCCACCAAGCAACCACTGCATTATGGAGGCCAGCAGGTTAGTTTTTCTTTTAAACAACAAAATTAGTAAAACGTGGAAAGAAACTCCCCAAACAAATAAATATTTGCCTTCATGAAATAAATTAATGTAGAGATTCTGTGAAGGGGGCAGTTGCTCCGATCACAGAGTCAATGGAGACGGGCGCTGAGTCCGCAATGGTATCCCTTTTCAACCTGTCCTGCTGGCTGGGGTTGATAGGAGTCAAACTGATCCACCTGCTCCCACCCAGGCCTCCTCCTGGAGCCTGAGGGCACACCCCTCAATAGCCTGGTGTGGAGGCCATCACTGGAAGAGAGGGAGGAACTGGGAAAGTCCCCAGGATTGCCCTCGAGCCGCTATAAGATTTAAAGGATTCTTAACCCAACCCAGGCTCGAGAAGCCAGCACCAGAACCACAGGATCAACCTACTAGGGTCACTGCCTTCAGAGGGCTTCATAGAGAAGGCCCCCTGGGGGAGCAGACTGGAGAGTCATGCCACAGCTCAGCATTCCCTCCACTCCCCATCTCATCCTCCAGCAGGGGCCTGGTACGAGCTGTCAGATTATTGTGTTTTGAATTTTTAAGAGGATGAAAAACAAATTGGTTTTCACATGGACCCCCCCACACACACACATCCCTTGCCCTCTCCGGTACACACACGACATATAGCCTGCTCCTCCCCTGCCCCAATTGAAAATGCTCATCAAGACCCTCTCCTGGGGCATACTCCCACCCCGTGCCTCCTTGAGCGAGAAAAGTTCACAGATAAGGCAGTTTGTGGGAGAGGGAGCTCTTCCACACACAACAGAGATCAACCCAGTGTCTCCACGCCTGAGAAGGGGCACTGAATAGCAACGTCAAGGCTCCCTTTCGGACAACACAGACAGACAAACGGAAAATGCAGGAGAGAAAGCAAGGGAGGCACTCCTATGGTTTGCATTGCTGCCCCCCACCCTTGCAAGTCCGTTCAGGTTTTGTTCTCCCCACCCTCCCTCCCCAATACAACGCAGATCCTTGACATCTAAAAACGTCTCCTCCTCCAGCCCTGCTGCCATAACCCAGAGGTGAAATCCTGACTCCAGAAAGGTCCTGAAACTTTTGCCTCCTGGCTAAGCTGAGATCTAACAGGAACTGGGCCCATTATTTCCCTGTGATCTCTATTACATCGTCGTCTTTGTCTTCGTCATCATTGGAGCTGCATCCCACCTCTGAGGCCTCCTGGGATTCAAACTGAGGCACCTGGGACCGCAGGAGGCCCCCAGCCGGGTAGCCCGAATGAGGGGACATGTAGCCAGGGTAGGCAGACGCCATGCTCCTGGGAAGGCTGCTAGGCAAAACTGGGGCTGGGAAAGGAGCAAACATCCTGGGCTCAGGCAGGAGCGACTGCGTGAAGGGAAGCGAATAGCTGGGCAGCATCCCCGTCATAGAGGGGTTTAGCATGAACGAGGGGACGCTGGCGGTGGCTGAGGTAGCAGCAGAGGAGCTGGCGGTGCCGGCTGTCAGCAGAGGGTCAGTAGTCACAGGGAACACCAGCTGAGGGTCTGGTAGTAAATTGGGCAGCTGGTAGTAGGATGAGCCAGTGCCCATGTACAAGGAGTTTCCTGCTTGGGGGGGAAATGGATGGGTTAGGTTGTGGTTTAAAGAGATAGGGGGCATGGTGAACCCACCAGAGACTGGGTACCCGTGTTCGTACGACTGAACAGACGTTGGCAGGTGGCGCTTTTTCTGCTGCCGACGGGCTGGTTCCTCGGGGACAGAGGGTGAGGTCGACTTGCGCTTGTTGCCCCGTAAGTCCAGCACTGAGTGACCATCGACATTCTGGCTGGTGGCTGGCAGGGCTGAAGAAACCGACGGAGCCAAGCAATGGAGGCCCAATCGCTGCTCAGCTCCCCGGGCTGCTAAGGTGGCTGCGTTTTCTGTCCGGGCAGGGTGTCCATGCACAGTGTTAGTGCTGGGGGAGTTGTGGCGAGACTCCCGGGCAGCAGCTGCCTCAGCATACTGCTGCAGCTCACTGATGATCTCCGGGCTGTCGGGGGAAATGGGCCGAGTGAGCTCTTCTGTGTTAGGGAGCTTGGGTGACGAGGCACTGTGTCTGCCATTGCTTGTGGATTCCAGAGATGGACCCTGAGAGCCTGGAGGTGACAAGGAGATGGAGTGGGTGAGACAGAGAAGCCTGGAGAAACATCCCGGCGCTGGGAAAAGGGAGAAGAGGGGGGACTGAATAGACTCGGCATGGGTTGGGATTGAGGGTGGGAGGGAGGGGGCTGCCATGGAATCAGCCAGGGAGGAGAGAAAATGTGGAATTTAAAGATGTGAGAAGAGAGGAAGCTCTTGGGCAGGGATGTAAAGCAAGTCCCCTAAATACAGCCCTGGGGAAGACAGTGCAGTGAAACACCCACCACAGAAACCCAACAGAGGAGAGCACTTGGGGCGTGTATCCAGTGCAAGGATCTTCAGTCCCTACCTGAGGCAGCCGTTCGACGGTCTTCACTGCCCTTCGGCTTCCCAGTGGTCCGGATAGCAAAAATCCGCCCATCGCTGGTGCGGATGTACGTCCCTGAAACAGAGAGGGAGGAAGCAACTGGTCAGACACAGGAACAGCTCCATGCCCAGCTGCTGGCTGCCTGCCCCAGGGAAAGGCTGCAGAACTGGCAGGCAGGGAGAGAAAAGGGCAGCAGAGAGGACACACCAGCCCCTAATCCCCAAACACTTTGATCTCTCTCTCCACGTCTGTGAGCATTGCCGTCGGGCAATGCCAGGGTCACAGTGCTGTGTCAGTGGCCTACAGGTCCATTACAGACAGGCCAGAAGCACACAAACTGTGCCCACTTGAGTGCTGGGCTGGCAACATGCCAGGAGCCTGCAGCCCACAAGCCATTTACCTAAAACAGAGCAGACTGTAAAACCAGCATGCAGCAGCAACAAGGGCAGCCACGGACTGTGTTCTTGAACACTCTCAGTGCTGGAGTGCCCCTGCAGTCAGGTGCATGCTGGTTCTCTCCTTTAGAGCCTGTCTCCAGTCTGTCCCTGAAAAATCCCTCCCTCTGCTTCTCTCTGTCCCAGGGTTACACACACATGTGGCTCTCTGCTGAATCGCTGCAGGACCCGAATTCCCTTCCCATGCTCCCTTTTCTCCCCCAGGGGAGTCAAACACATTTTCAGGTCACCATCTCTGCCAGTGGCAATGGCTGTGGTTCCACTTTTCCTTATGCAGCGCTGTTGGCGAATTTCAATGGCACTCAACTAGGCTCTGTTCAAATAACTGAAACACAGAATCCCTGCCCCGAGGGCCCCAACTGATCACTCCTCTAGTGTTACAGCACTGCAAACAGGCCGACCCCTGGCCCATCTCTGAGAAACGATGCCTGGCCAGCTGCTCCACCATTGTTGGGAGAAGGCTTGTGTAAAGAGCTCGAGCTTGCAATACTCTTGAAAGGTGACAAGACAGACTCCACTGGAAGGGAGAATGTGCCACCACATCTCCTTACAGTCTGACCTGGGGCTCTGTCAGTTGCAACTTCTCCATTGGCTTCAACGGTCTCGTAGGTCAAAAACTATTCATCCCCGAAACATGATAGGAGATTGTGTGTTAACATAATGAGATGGGCAACTCTGGAGCTTGAAATCGCTTCCATCTGCTTCAGAAGGGAAGGATGGAAGACCATTCCCTTTGGGGCACTGGCAGGAAATTACAGTATCAGTGGCCTGATCCCCTTCATCTCCCCATCATGGTTAAACCCACAACTAAAGCCTCTGTTTTTTCTGACTTTTCAAGCTTTGACGAAGCCTGTTTATTAAATGCATCTTGCAAATGCAGAGCACTGAAAACAGGAATTTGGGGGGATTTTAGTATATCAGGGCCAGGAGATTAGCAGTTACTTATTTCCCAAGTCAGGGATTTACCTTTAGTCCCTCGGATTATGTGGATGCTCTCACCAGCACTGATTCTCGCCTGCACATCAGTGGATGTGTTTGTGCCTGGAATCACAATATCTGATGGAGAAAGCCAGCATTTGAGAAGTTACATTATGGGCTCAAAAAAGAGTGGGAGAAATCCAGGGCTAAATTCCCTCAGCATCCAGCTAGCTTCTGCTACAAATGAGATCAGGGTTTAATTATGAGTAACAAAGAAGACATAAGAAGCAGAAGTGGAATCCCCTGGGACTGAGAGCTCAGGAAGGAGTGGGGGTCAGGGGAAATGAAATGCAAGGTACCCCAGTACACAAGCCCCATCAATTAGAACACAGAACATGGGACTGGGCAGAGCACTGGAAGCCAGCATACCATACAGTGCAGCCAGCATACCTGGCTTTTGAAATATGTTTGGCCTGAAAGCTGCAAAGAGATCAGGGAGCTACAATCAGTATTTGGGGGCAGATTCACTGCCCTGTTTTAGTCCCTTAGCACACCTGTGGTGCAAAACCCACTGCTGGGGATTCTCCAGGTATGGAATCCATAACAGGCATAGAGGTGGCATAACTGGCTCCTACGCCTCCCTCCCTGGTAGGCAAAGGTTAGAGGGGTAGGGAAAGTGAGTGGCTGGAGCCCACTGTACTCTGGCTGTCCCCAGCCGGTGTATGGTCCCTAGCCACTGTTGCCAGCTGGTGCAAGATAGCGCTGCTCTAACCTATGCTGGGGCCAGGACAGAGAATCAGTCAGGCACGAGAACAGCCAGAGTTACTCTCTCTCCTCCACGCGGCAGGGGAGCTGTTGAGCAGCTGCAGTAGAGAACAGACCGCTCCCAGCCAAGCTGCTGCAGGGGAAGCAGCACCCCTCTTACCTCCAATCTGCACTAATGGATCTGATTCCAGCACTTCAGTTTAAACACCACAGCACATGCTTCAAGGGACACATTTCAATTCATAATCAGACACTTTCCTTCTTGACACAATCCCCCTCAAGGGGCTCATCCAGCTTCTTAGGCCACAGATGAGACACCATAGTTGTCTGGGACACTATTCTATCCCCGAGGGATGGACGGACTGCCTGCCTTCCATCTCTGGATCCCAGGACTCTGTCTCAACCAGCTGTGTTCTCAGGGGGACTTGGTTCCAAAGGAACGACTGACCTGTCGTGGTGACAATCTTCTGAACAAGGACACCAGCTCGCTGTAGATAGTTGACGGGGAAGTTGACAGTGGGGTTGGAACCAGATGCCGATCCCACGCCACCCAACGGGACATGCCGAGGCATCATAGGAATGGGGGTGGACTGAACAGGGCGGACGCTTGCCACTGGCTTGTCCTCGCCCTTGAAGACTGGTCGCCTAGTGGGAAGAGGGAAAAGGAGAGAGTGTCAAACGGAGTTATGTTCTTTTGGAAGGAGAGTCCCAACTGTATTTGGTTCCACCATTCTCAGTCATTCACATGGGTAATCGTGAGGCTCTGCACTGAGGAAATTGCTCATGGAGGCAGAAAAACCCCAAATGCAAAGCCCTGAAACTCTTTGCTCTGCTCCCAGTTCTGGAGAGAGGCAGTGGGAATCTCACTGCTCCAGGATCACAAAGAGAGAGTGAAGTCGCTGAAGTTTGATCTCTGAGTTAAAGCATAGGACTGGCCGTCAGGACTCCAGCCTCTATTCCTGACTGTCACTGACCTTGGGCAAGTCACTTCACCTCAGTGTCCCCATCTGTAAACTGGGGGTGCCTTCTCACCGATGGCAGAGACATGCAAGCAGCCAGCCAGCATTTGCACAGCACTCCCAGAGCCTCAGATTGGGCAATGCAAAGTGTTACGGGGAATTACACATGTTCCAGGTGAAGTGAAGGCAGATGATAGACACAGTGACTCTGGCTATTAGCCAGAAAAGTGGTGTGTGGGGACAGGTCTTGACACTTTCACTACCTGTCTGGATTCTGCATCTCTGTTTGATACTATGCCCATTCTCTTAGCCACAGCCATTGCAATCAGTGACACCCCCCACTGAGAAACGCTGCATGTGCCCCCAAGGCTGCAAAGGGAGCCTTCCTCCCTAATCAGCTGTTTTCCCCACCTTCCTTGCTTCATTCCCCTTCTTCATGAATCCGTATTTATAGTTGGCAGGGGAAGGAGAGGGGGCAACACCCAGCCTTAATATTCTCATTTCCTAGGAGCCAAGTGAGAACGCCCAGGGTAACAGGTTAGTCTTCATCTACCCCAGCTGTTTTTCCTGCCCCGCCTCTCCCCTCAACTGAAGTCCTCAGCAGAACAGGGAAAGAAATAAGCACCCACCAATTCCTTTGACTGAAAGCAGGGATGCTTGTCAGGCTCTGGTCACTGGCTGGGTAATACTGTGCATAGGATGGACGGGTATAGGGGACGGATGCTCGCTTCTCTTCCTCATAACTCTTCTTTGCTGCCTTCTTCTCTGCCTTGGTCAACTTGTGCTCCTTCCGGTCAATCAGCAGCGACTCATGCTGGAAAGGCTCCTGTGGTCACAGCACATAAACATATTGAGACACCAACATACCACAGGAGGGCAGTAGACAAACCCAAATGATAGAATTCCCTCCCTGTGTCCCAGGCAGAATAACATGGCAACTGGCAGACTCTGGGCAGTATTCTGGGCCCTGGTCTACACTGGGGGGGGAGGTCAATCTAAGTTATGCAACTTCAGCTACGTGAATAGCTGAAGATAAATCAGCCCCCGAACGCTACCCTGACAACTCCGCCTGCGCCTCTTCTGGCGCTGGAGTACAGGAGTGGACAGGAGAGCGTTCGGGGGTTGATTTATCACGTCTAGACTAGACACGATAAATCGATCCCCGCTGCCTAGATCGCTGCCTGCTGAGCTGGCGGGTAGTGAAGACATACCCTGGGTGGACTCTGGGGGAAGAGTTCAAAACTAGTGCAATGGGCACTATTATAGACAATAGACAATATGATTACTTCTTATAAATAATCTGTGCACCAACTCCACAATGATCTCACTGCATAACACTCACAGGAACATGCTTATTCACAATACTCACAATGCATGCAATACGACAGCACATAAATGGAGCAATTCTGTTACTGCACTAAATGCCCCATAGCAGGCTTTCCTTTTAACCATGAATCTCTGTATAGAGATAGCCAGGCAGACACAGTCCTTCATTTCTCCTCTCCTCCAACAGCCTTAACCAAACTACCCCAACCTATGTTCTTCCTAGATGCTCTACCTACTTCTGAGAGCATTCTGCTCCAAAAAGTTAAAAATTCTGTGTATAAAAATTTTAAAATTCAGCAAAATTCTGCAAATTTTATTTGTCAAATAAATGTGGAGGCGCCAGCATGGCATTGGAGAGCACAGGCCACTGGCTGCACAGAAGTGGTAGATCACTCCCCCTGGGGGAGACTCAGCAGTGAGGCTGCACTCAACCCTGACACAGTGCAAAAAGGAGGCCTGCCCCAGAAACACCCCAGTGTCCTGCCCCTCTGTGCCAGGTGCACATCGGTGTGGGCAGGCAGGCTGGCTCAGCCCAGCAGGATCCAAGTGTGGGGGGACTTAGTGTGGGGGGACCCAGGCGTGGATTGAGAGGGTTCTGTGTGGGAGGCTCAGTGGGGGATCCAAGTGCACAGGGGATCTGGATGCACAGAGGCTTGTTGGGAGGTTCTGGATGCAACGGTAATGGGATGCTACAGTGGGGTCCAGGTGAAAGTGGTTGGGGCTCAGCGAGGAGGGAAGAAGGGCTGGGGAGGTCTGGGTGCGGAAGAGATAGAGCTCGGCAGCGGCTGTGGGGGGTCTCAATGTGGGAGGCAGATGATGGGGGACTGGGGCACAGTGGGGTGGCGATCTAGGTGCAGCTGGTTGGGGCTCGGTGGGGTGGGGATCTGCGTGCAGGGGGCTCCTCAGGGGGGTTCTGAGTGCAGGGGGGTGCGGCTCAGCTGGAGGGTCTGGGTATGGATACTCAACAGTTGGGCAGATGGGGGAGCAGTTCCCTTTACACTGATCCCTCCCCCTGCAGCTGAGGAGCGATGGGTGCTTGAAGCGGTGTGGGGAGGGGATCAGAGAGTTTGCAGAGATTTCTGCAGCTGGGGGAGAAATCTGGGGGTGGGTCTGATCCAGCACCGGATACTGTGCAGGGGAAGAGAAAGTCCCGTCCTCCCCAGCCCATCCGGGACTAGCAGCTGAGCCTGGCGCAGGGTAGGAGCCACCAGCCGGGTCTTCCCCAGTCCCGTCCCCTGCCCTACAGGTGATTTACCTCTGCTGGCTGCCGTGGGCACCCGAAAAATACTGCTTGGGAGGGTCGCATGACCGCTCTTGTGGCTTCCCTTTGCTTTCACATCAGAAAGTCATTTTTTCTTCAGGGAAGCAAAGAAATCTGCGCATAATTCAGTGCATAATTCCCCCAGGAGTATCTACCAAAGGTCTAAGGAAATCTGCACATGAACTTCAGGTCTTGGGTTTGACAATGGAACAACAGTTTTCTTGATACCTGACACTGATCATGGACTTGTCTCAGAGACATGCACAGTCCCTTATAACTAATATTGTTTTGGAACACTCTTATCTTAACCAAGGTATCACAACACAGGCTGCTCCATTTTCTCCTGGGGTAGACCGTTATTCACTGAGCTCAGTGTCATCCCTAACTGGCAATGCCATCTGGAAGCAGCATTAAGAACAAAGGTATATACCTTGGTGATAATGTGAGGGTATTTGAGACAGGCTAGCTGTAAGACAGACTCCTTGATCTTGTTTGGGTCCAATGCCAGCTGGGCAGGATCTGACTCCTCTTCTACGAAGTGCAGCAGGTTCTCCACCTCCCTCCGGGTGAAGTTCAGCACTGGATTCAGATCATCCACAACACGATCTGGAGAATGGAGGGAATGCATCATTTAGAGAAAGGAGGAAACAGTTTACTGCTCTCTGCTGTACTCGTTACATTCCTGCTTATAGATTTCCCAGCTCTTAATCTGTGCTTTCCACAGCACTCTGCTGTGAATATCTGCAGAGGGACAAGGATCATTCCACTGAACTTTGAGACATGACCATGCAGGTATTTGAATATTGACACAAACCAGGCTAGGGAATGCTTTGCTCTCCATATATTACAACAAGGTGATATGGGCCATTAACATCCTGGCATACACAAACCTGGAAGCTGAAGATACTGTACATACAATATGGTTGAAGAAGTTCCCCATCTCACCCTTGCACATCAGAAGCCTGAAAATATTATGTGGACATTGTGATAAAAAGGCAGCTGCAAAGGCGAACATCAGTAACTAACGAGCCAGAACCACTGAGAAAGGCTCAAAAGTTTATAGTGACTAACCAGTGACTCAGGTTTCCGGGGACTACAACCACCAGATTCTGTTAAACTATTTGAAAGTTCTGGATAACATCTGAGATCCCCATTCTCACCTCCATAACTCAAAAGAAGCTGTACTATTTCCCTGGACTTGATTTTTGTGTATGTGTCAAGATGGGAACAAGTGTGTGTGTGGGGAGGAGGAAAGAGAGGAGGAGGAGGAGAGGACTCTAGGACATGGGTGCTAGACAGCACACAGAGTCAGAGCACTGAAGTATCCCCTCTGCACCGGGACTTAAATTCTGACACAACCCTTTTGGGCTCATGGTAGTCTCCCACTTGTGCATCTCTCAAAACCACCACAAAATCTGGCACAATTCAGCCCCACTGGCAGTCTTGGTTCCAGACAGGTCAGAACTGGAACGATTAGTGAACCTTAGTAATTAGGTAGCAATAAGGATGTCAACCTGTTTTTTCAAAAGTAGGTATTCCCCACTGTATTGTTGAAAAAGCGGAGCCATGGAGCACTGCAGTAACCTGTCCAATCTAACAGGAGGCACCAGCAGAGCTGGAGACAGAACTTAAATCTCCTAACTCCCAGCCTCCTGCTATAAGCAACAGACTATCCAGCCGGTCTGCTGCTTCTGTTCTTGCAGGAGGTGCTACAGGTCAGAACTGAGGTGTGCTGGCAGCTAAGGAGCAGAAGGGGTGAACCACAGGGAGTGTGTGTTGCACTATGCTGGCTCAAACCGGTACTGCTGAATCCTTCATTTTTACTAGATCTGTACTCACTCTTAAATTATAAAAATATCAGAACAACTCCCCAGTCATAAATGCCTTTTTAGTGTCATTTCTTCTAGCAGCAGTTTGTGTCTAACATTAGACAGACGGAAGCATCACCAAAATCATACAGACTCCGTCCATGGACTACAGAGTATAAGAAAAGTAAGTAGGATGACATATTGGCAAAAGTGTTCAAGCCTACCTGACATCCCCTGCTTGGAGACCTGGCGGTCATAGATTTTCTTCTCCAGGGTGTAATCTGAAACCAGTCGGTAAATGTGGCACGGCTTCCTTTGTCCGTAGCGGTACACCCGGCACACTGCTTGTGCGTCATGGCACGGGTTCCAAGAAGCATCAAACACCACCACTCTGTTTGCTCCAATCAGGTTGACACCCAAACACCCAGCTCTTAAACAAAACAAAAATTAAGTTTCAAAATCATTTTTCTTTCCAGTCTTCAATACCTTTATACTTTAAGGAGTTACCATCCTGTATGGTCTTAAGCCAAATCTTGCAAACAGAGCAAGTGCAATAGATTCTGTGGTCTGAACAGCCTCCATCACATTAATGAAACCCACTCTTTCACCCCACCTCACCCCTCCGTTCCAGGCAGGTGACCAACTCACCGTGTGGACAAAAGGAAGAGCCAAACAGAGCTGTTGCTGGGGTCATTGAACTGGTTAATCAATCGTTCCCTTTCTGAGGCAGAAGTGCTGCCATCCAGTCCTGGTAAGAAAATCAGAGAGGTGTTTAAAAACCCTTTGTATTGTGGGATCCATCAAAACGAAACAGTTCCCGTCTGGTTCTTAGAATACCTGCACTGTGAAGAATGCCATTACCCTGCAGACTCCGTACAGATCCAGCTAGGGAAAAGCTTCCGTGCCATTTCAGGCAATTGAACCAGCTTACTACAATAAGCCCTCAGCTGTCCCAGCCAATGCCCACATCCCCCCAGTCAAACATACACAGTGTAGTCAGCCAGGGAGCTCGGGCTGTGTCTAGCTCCAATATCACATGAGTGTAAAACAGGAGTCTGGCATAGGCCAAGTTCCACAGTGGGCTACAATGCATACAGCTAAACCAAAGATGAGCAGTTCTAGTGCACTGGGATCCTACACAGAGGCTCATCATTCAGGTAGGAAGTCTGCAGTACCAGTCACAAAAGCCTGAAATACCAGTATTGGTAACAGGCACCAGTATAAAATAGATCCAATACGACCACTGAGCTGGGATAGCACAAAAACAACGCAAGCCGCTGGCAAAACCCCACTGGACCCAACATGACCATATGCAGAGAATCGGAGAAAAAGAGTGCAGATGGACAGAGCATGCTTGTGATCATGGGTAGAACTCACTCAGGATGAAGAGATGCTGCCACCCACACCTTGAGTCAAAAGAGGAATTAGAGCAGTTTATAGACACCTAGCATGCTTGCCAGGAGCTCCCAGGGACACCATGTCCATCCAGCTACTCTAAACACTCCTGTTGCCCTGCCACAAAAGTCAGCTACTGAAGGGGACAAAGACTAGAACAGGAGGGAAAACTCACGATCACCAAAACAAGCAGTAAAGATTCTAGAATTAGAAAGTGTCCAAGTGGTGCAAAGGAAGAATGAAGATTTTTTTAAAAGTTTTAAGAAGTGATAGTTAAGCTATTCAGAGAGCCATTAAAAAGAAAAGGGGGAACTGGGAAATTATCAGTCAGTCCTGATCAAAACTAAAAACATGCACCCAAGACAACTCAAACAAATCAATCTGAAAATGGCTAAGGAACAGATCTGCACGCCCACGGAAAAGCACAGGTAAGTGTGGCGAGAAACCAGAGGAAATCGTTGCAACATCAAGAGGTTAGCCCAGCCGCAGAGGATCAAATAGGGTCCCAGATGAAGGAAGGAGGACGGTCTGTACTCACTGTAATAGTTGAGATTTCGGACCCAGTTATGAATGCCTTGCGCATCTGAGCCTGGAGGATTGGGCATTGGTCTCTTGGCCAAGAACTCCTCAATGACAGACAATGTGGACAGACTCTGGCTGCAAAAACAAGGTCTCTGCTCAGGAAAGCCCCTAACAGTGTAACTAGAACAACAAACTCCATCTTCCCCTGCTAGCAGTCTGAGGGTGCCACGGGACACCCCCTTACCACTGACAGCTATACGGATGAAGAGATTACAAAACCAATGGACAACAAAAAACATTAAACCAAACAATGGGGAAAGACCAAATAACACTGCATAGCAGTGGGCAGCTGTCATAGGGGAAACACACAGTCTCATTCCACTACTGTCTAATCTCCAAACACACCACTGCTCAGGGCTCAGAGGAGCAGCCATTGATACTTCCTCTTACCTGAAGACCAAGATCTTGTCTCCGTGCTTCACACTTTCCTCAATCAGGTGGAACAGTAACACCATCTTGGGCGAGTTCTCCAAAACTCCCGTCTGGTAATCACACAGGATGTCCTTGGCCTACCCAGAAACAAGAGCCTCGGTTACATGGGGAGGTACTCAATTAGTTCCATAAAACGTACTTTCCATAAGAGGCTTCAGGCTCATGAACAAAATGTAATAAACCCAATGTGACCCTATACAAAGAGCCAAATCTCCACATAGCCCTCCCAAGTTCCAGACACACACATCCCCATACTGAGAATAACAGGCCATCACCCTGTCATTTAAGTCTGGGGACTGTTAGCTTGAGCGTGAAAACTGCTGTGGCAATTCACAGGAAACAGCAGTCTCCATGTGCCCTTATAGGACTTCAGTCTACAAAGTCAATGCTCTGAATTGCATCTGGAAGTGAACAGGAAACCAGTGCAACTGCTGGAGAACTAGTATAAAAGGTGAAGACAGCCAGTGGAATCCAGCTGATGCATTCTGCCAGCTGTAGCTTCCAAGTGATCTTTAAAGGTAGCCCCCTTGTGGAGCACGTTTCAACAATTCAGTCTCAAGGTGATAGAGGAATAAATTACTGTGGCACAGTCTGGATCCAAGAAGAGAGGCCTCAAGCATCCAGCCAGGTCCAGATGAAAGGGGTGGTTTTGGCCACCTCTGAGTCCCAAAGCCACAGAGGATCCAGGAGTTTCAAACTGCAGATTTCTTGGACAATAAGTGGACAAAAAGTCTTGAGTACAGGAACTTCTGCTATATCCTCAAGATGCTCAATTAGCATCACCATTGCCTTATTCTGTTTAATGACAGGCTTCAGAGTAACAGCCGTGTTAGTCTGTATTTGCAAAAAGAAAAGGAGTACTTGTGGCACCTTAGAGACTAACCAATTTATTTGAGCATAAGCTTTCGTGAGCTACAGCTCACTTCATCGGATGCATACTGTGGAAAGTGTAGAAGATCTTTTTATATACACACAAAGCATGAAGATAAGCTATTACCAGCAGGAGAGTGGGTTTGTGTGTGTGGTGGGGGGGGGGGGGTGAGAAAACCTGGATTTGTGCTGGAAATGGCCCAACTTGATTATCATACACATTGTAAGGAGAGTGATCACTTTAGATAAGCTATTACCAGCAGGAGAGTGAGGTGGGAGGAGGTATTTTTTCATGCTTTGTGTGTATATAAAAAGAGATTCTACAATTTCCACAGTATGCATCCGATGAAGTGAGCTGTAGCTCACAAAAGCTTATGCTCAAATAAATTGGTTAGTCTCTAAGGTGCCACAAGTACTCCTTTTTTTTTATTCTGCTTAAGTTTCAGCCATCTCACTCTCATTCAAGTTCTGATCTCAGCTATGCTGGTGAAAAAACACAGACACTGCACCATCCGGGTCTGATGAAAACAAGGTGTAAAGCAGAGTGCCAGCTGTACAGTGGTCTCATAATTCCCATTAGTAGCCTTTTATATGCACTGATCAAGACAGAGAGCAAGACAAAGCTTCATAGCAGAGATCATAGACTCATAGGACTGGAAGGGACCTCGAGAGGTCATCTAGTCCAGTCCCCTGCACTCCAGGCAGGACTAAGTATTATCTAGACCATCCCTGACAGGTGTTTGTCTAACCTGCTCTTAAAAATCTCCAATGATGGAGATTCCACAGCTTCTCTAGGCAATTTATTCCACTGTTTAACCACCCTGACAGTTAGGAAGTTTTTCCTAAATGTCCAACCTTAACCTCCCTTGCTGCAATTTAAGCCCATTGCTTCTTGTCCTAGCCTCAGAGGTTAAGGATAACGATTTTTCTCCCTCCTCCTTGTAACAACCTTTTATGTACCTGAAAACTGTTATGTCCCCTCTCAGTCTTCTTTTTTCCAGACTAAACAAACCCAATTTTTTCAATCTTCCCTCAGAGGTCACATTTTCTAGCCTTTTAATCATTTTTGTTGCTCTTCTCTGGATTTTCTCCAATTTGTCCATATCTTTCCTGAAATGTGGTGCCCGGAACTGGACACAATACTCCAGTTGAGGCCTAATCAGTGCAGAGTAGAGCCGAAGAATTACTTCTCATGTCTTGCTTACAACACTCCTGCTAATACGTCCTCGAATGACGTTCACTTTTTTTGCAACAGTGTTACACTGTTGACTCATATTTAGCTTGTGGTCCACTATGACCCCCAGATCCCTTTCTGCACTACTCCTTCCTCAGCAGTCATTTCCCACTTTGTATGTGTGCAATTGATTGTTCCTTCCTAAATGGAGTACTTTGCATTTGTCCTTATTGAATATCATCCTACTTACTTCAGACCACTTCTCCAGTTTGTACAGATCATTTTGAATTATAATCCTATCTTCCAAAGCACGTTGTGGCAGCTGAGAAAGTCTCAGAACTAAAAGCAGGATCCCTGCTACACAAGGGTTTTTTCCACTGCTGTTCCCCAATTTATAACCAGCGCACTCCCCCGACAAAAGGGTCATGGGCCTTTGACCAATTAAGCATTCAGCCCATGTTTGTTGGGAAAAAAAAAAAAAAAAAAAAAAGCCATGAGACTCCTAGCTCTGAGGTTGGTACTCACCCACTCATAAGTAACGACTTGATTTGCTCTCTCCTGAAAGGGGTTGAAGCCAATGCCTTGAAGGAACTTGCTGTTGGTAGCTTCTCCAACTGGTGATGCCAAAGCATTAGTCTCTGTTTTGACTTTTATTCCCTGTGGCTGACAGCGAGAATTAGTTCCAGCTGTGCCAAGGTCATCCACATCCAGGTCCTGCTCATTTGCCAGATTCTCTTTTTGCAGCGCTTCATACAGCACATCTGGGTGATTCCAGATCTGAGAGATGACGAAAAGGCAAAAGGTAACATTGCACTAGCACAAACCCAACCAAGGCACTTGTGGATTTACAGCACCTCACACGCAGTCAAATGCTAATGCCCCTGCAGAAACGCACCAGCGATTTGTTAATCTAATTATTCCCCTCCAAATTCAGCTGAAAGGGAGTTTGTAAAGTGCCACAAATTAAGCAGATCTCACCGCATTAGAATATTTAATGCCAGGGACTCTGCCTGTTTAGTCCGAAGTCCTCTGTAGTTGACTTGCGTGGACACGCTGAAACTTTGCCTGCTATAGAAGCTAGGCAGATTCCAGTCAACAAGTAAAAAGGAAAGTGCGATTCTGTCACAGCACAAGGTATACACTGTTTCAACCAAGACATGTTACCAATTTTAATTATCTTAAAGCTCCTCTGTTTGGTGACTGATGAATGAACACACACAAGGCACACACTCTGGGAAATGAAGGATTTTCTTGCGGTTAAAGGCTGGGACTTGGATCAGCTGGGTTCAGTTCCTGGCTCTGCCACAGACTTTTTGCATGAATTTGGGCAGGTCAATTAAACACTCTGTGACTCAGTTCCCCATCTTTAATGTGGGAATAATGATACTATCAGGACACCACATTACATCATGCACAGGAACATGCACACTAATGCTTAAGATGCACCAAGATACTGCACTTGTACTATATCTACATCATTCTTCTTGCCAATATTTGGACATAGACTCCTACCCTTTCCCTGTATACTGCAGGAGAAGCTACTCTCTTGCCAATACCCACCTTACAACAGACGCAGAAAGCCTTGAGCGGGTTCAATCCCAGCCAGCCACTGTTGCCTGCATCCCGGAACCGGTTCATGAACTCTGTGTAGAGAGCCCGTTGGATTTTTGACAGACGTACCAGGATGACATGTTCTTCTTTATAGGGAAGCTGAGCCTTTAGTACGTTATGGCCTCTCCTACAGAAGCAATCAAGAAAGGAAGATCAGAAGAGAGAAAGAACATTCAGGGCTAGCATCTCAGGGGCTGCCTTCAGGGTAAGATATCTGATGACAGCAAAGAGAAGGAACTCTAGTTGTGAGTGTTTCTATTGCAGGACACTCAGAAGACATTACAACTGAAGCCAAATAAAAAGTACAGTATGCTCTATTACCAAAACAGCAAACATTATAATACCCCAGGATAGCGTTTAGAAAGGGGATGAAGGTCTTGCTAACCGTGGTGCTAAATCAGGAAGGATACACTTGTGGCCAAAACACTGCACTGGAAATTAAGAGACCTGGTGTTTATTTCTGTCTTTGCCAATGACTTGCTCAGGCCATGTCACTTACTCCTTCTGTGCCTCTGGGTCCTCATCTGTAAAATGGGGAGGATTTCTAGTCCCTCCTCTCCTCCGTAAGAGTACTGTGATGCTTACATTGTTTGGGGTTTATAAAATGCTTTCAGATCCTTGGATGGAAGATGATACAGAAATGCATCTACCAATCACCTACTAATACTTCTAAAGGAAGTTAGGGAGCACTGTACTGCCCTCCATCTGCATGTGCTCCCCTCTAGCAGTCCCACAGGACGGTACTGGCAGGGTACTGCAACGTTACACCTGCCACTAAGTCAGGGAGAAGCCCCCAAAGATCACTTCTTAACTGACAGGCTAAATTAGACAAAGTGCTTTTGAGAGAAACATGCAGGTGCTAACTCTGGGGTCCCCTCCAAGATTTCTCCTATATGTCTACAATCTCCCTAAAGGACAAGAGGGAATCCAGGGTAAAAATCAAGCTCAGGAAGACAACAGGAATCGCTGTAATGAATACACTCCTCAATCGATGTGGCTAAACTATGATCAAGGAGCTGACTGCACAGACTACGTTACTGAACACTTGATGTGGACTCACCTTTGCACAAACCCCTCCAGCAGACTATGCAGGACATGACTGCGGTACCTCATGAGACGGACGTCCTGCGGTGTACTGTCAATACACTGCCCGTTCAGGATGGGGCGTTCAAACATGTTGCTGAACTCCTGCCGGGTACCCAAGAAGTCAGGACGGACGAAGTCTACCATGCACCAGTACTCAATCAGGTTGTTCTGGAGCGGGTAGCCTGTCAGTACCACCCGTCGCCTGGAGCGGATGTTCTTCAGGGCCTGAGATGTGCTGGCATGGCAGTTCTTTATCCGGTGTCCCTCATCACAGATAACTACATCCGGGCCAGGGCGGGATAAAGCCTTCTCAATCCCTGAGGGAAAGGAACATTGAGTTACTTGGTCAGCTGATGTTCCTGCTTCACGTAGCTCTACAGAAGGAAAACTGAGTAATTATGAAAGTTGAAAAAAAAACACTAGTTGTTTGTAGTGTTATTGCAGCTGTGTTGGGCCCAGGATATGAGAGAGACAAGGTGGGTGAGGTAATATCTTTTGCTAGCCCAGTTTCTGTTGGTGAGAGAGACAACCTTGAAAGCTTACACAGAGCTCTTCTTCAGACCTGAAGGATATTAGAAAGTGGGATAGAGACTGAGGAAGAGCTCTGTGTGAGCTCAAAAGCTTCTCTCTCTCACCAACAGAAGCTACACACAAATAAGCTGTTAGCAAATATAGTGACTGTGTTAAAGATAGGCACCAACGTCAGAGGTGGTTATGTACAATAAACTAACTATTCTCTGCTGCCAAGTGACCACCTGCCCATGGAGCCAGCCGGCATTAGTAGAATCTCCCAGCTGCAATTCTGTAGACAGGATGGTATTTCCTAGCAAGACTCGCCTCCCACCTTTCAGAAGCTCTTGCTGCCGGTCCTCCTCATCTAAGTCGATAATGACAGGGCCAGTTTGTTTCTTTGTTTTCTTCTTCCTGCCAGTAGCAAAGGACTTCTTCAGTGAGAGGAGACGGTACATCTCATAGCCCATCAGCAGCACCCCGCCATCCGTCACCCAGTCAGTCACCACCTTTGCACGGGCAGCCGTTGTCCTAAAAAAACCCAAATGCACAAAAAATGAGACCTCTTCCTTAAATACACCTGAACTTGCTGAAACGGATGCCTGCTAAAGGAAAGGACCTTTTCAAATGACTTAAAACATATGCTGGCATCAGACCAAACCAGCAGACAAGAGCAATGAAGCCCTTTTACATGAAGATCTGGGAGAAGCTTCCAGCATACTGAGGGTAACATGGCAGAGAAAGGTGAACCATTATAGGATGTTAGTGGATGCATGAAGAAGTTTGCTGTATATGAACCTAAATCAGATTTTACAGAGCAATGGAATCCTCTTATGGGAAGTGTTAGGAAAGAGACCTCTCCAAAGCACACATTTGCATAAGGTTCTGATGTATGTGGCTGTCTTACTCTACTACTTACAGCACACACCTATCCATCAATCTGAGAGTTAGCCGAATTATTTCCTTTCCCTCCCACCAATATTAAGGACAGGCTCAGATATGAAGCGGTCCACTCCACCTTTCCCATACACCAGAGCACGGTAATCCCCAATCCAATATGAGATGCACATAAGAGGCTCTAAATAATATCAGCTGACTAGGAAGTATATTCCTCTCGTGAGGTGAGGACCTCAGCGGCCAAGTGTGTGTAAATGCCAGATGAACTACGACTGCCCTGAGATGAATATAAATCTCACCAGATTGCATGAGACAACATGACAAAGAGTCAAGCAGAGCTGCAGCAGCCAAGAATACACACTGTATAAGATGAAAAGGACAATACTCTGCCTTACATAATCTCTCCCTTCGGTGTAGGAATGCTAACTCATTTAGAAGCCCTCAGGCACAGCAAAACTGAGTAAAAGTTAAAATGTCTGCAAGAAAGAATCAGAGAGGAAAGTGAAAACTCCCAGAAAAGCCAAATATAAGATTCAATAGCAATCATGCATACGGGCTGAGAAATCACATGGCTGGTCTCTGACGGGTAGAGGAAAGTACCCACCACAGACAAAACAATGCACTTCCCACTGGCCAATCCATACATAGCACAAAGTCTGGCATTTGAATTTTCCCATCTCAATGCATGAGGGGAGAAGTGGAGGTGAGTTGACAACCATGATGGAAGAGAGTATAAATAAGAAATGAGAGAAATCTAACCCCTCGTTAAAAGATGCACCTTTTCGATGTACCGAAATCCTCACACAAGAACATATACTGCAGACATACAGAGGGAGAGAAACTAAAAGGACAGGGCATGGAATCAGATCAAACGAACAGACTGCAGCAGTGGTACAGAGACACTGATAATACAACTCCATGAGAAGTAGATTAATTGCTCAGGAGGGGCATTCATGGCACCTACTTGTGTTCATCATTCAGGATATGGACTTTGAAGAAGCGTGGCTGAATTTCTTTTGGGTTATAGTCAGCAGGGAGGTTTTCAGGTGCGGGAAGCCACATGTTGAATTCTGCCAGCCAGTTCTGGAGAGTGTTTACCTGGGGAGGAAAAAAATGCACCCAAAGGACTGAGAAAGTAGTCCTCAGACCACAAAATTCAGTCACCCAGCATTCAGAACTCAAAGCTAAATGGGACCTGCGAATCACATCCAGCTGTCCTCAGCTAGAAAGAAAGGGCCATCATACAGAATTCTCACGGATGGTGGGAATGAAAGCAGTGAAAATGGGAGTGAGGGTACCTGAGGGCTCTCTCTAAGGTATGAAGGACCAATCCATCCTCCTCCCCACAACAATAAAAAAAGCAAGTCCTAAATGGTGGACCTGACACTGTTTCACACGGGCTACTTACAGGTACAATGGCAAGGACAGTCTTTGCCTCTGTGTGCCGGAAAAGTACATCCAAGAAAGAGATGACCTGGATGGTCTTGCCCAGCCCCATGCTGTGGGCCAAGATACACCCAAACCCACTGCTGCTTTTAAATCTCTCCAGGGATTCCACCAGGTTATCATACAGGAACCGGATCCCACCAATCTAGAGAAAATATGGAAGAGTTGCAAAAGAAGTAGTGGAAAACAACAAAATGGAGATGTAGCTACAGATTGACGTATACATTGTATGAGTTTATATGGCAGATAAATACACAAGGGGAAATTAGAGATTCATTGCAGTATTTTCAGCTACAAGGACTCAATAGAATTCCTTATAAAAAACTTTCTGAAAAGATGGTCCTGATCATTCTTATGCTTGTGCAGAGCCTACAGTCTTTGGGTTGGTTTTTTGTTCTTAAATAATTTGATGAAATAATGCTCATCCAAGCATGAAGTAGAGGGGAAAAATCTCTATCAATACAATGTCATATCATCTGGTTTTGAAACTTTTCCAGGCATCACTTTACTCTAGGTTTCAGAGTAGCAGCCGTGTTAGTCTGTATTCGCAAAAAGAAAAGGAGTACTTGTGGTACCTTAGAGACTAACAAATTTATTTGAGCATAAGCTTTCGTGAGCTACAGCTCACTTCATCGGATGCATTCAGTGGAAAATATAGTGGGGAGATTTATATACACAGAGAACATGAAACAATGGGTGTTATCATAAACACTGTAAGGAGAGTGATCACTTAAGACGAGCTAATACCAGCGGGGGGGGAGAACCTTTTGTAGTGATAATCAAGGTGGGCCATTTCCAGCAGTTGACAAGAACGTCTGAGGAACAGTTTTTCTTTTTTTTTTCTTTTCTTTTTTTTTTTTTTTGGGGGGAGGGGGGAAATAACTAACTTAGGCTTGAATAGAGACTGGGAGTGGATGGGTCATTACACAAAGTAAAACTATTTCCCCATGGTTATCCCCCCCCCCACTGTTCCTCAGACGTTCTTGTCAACTGCTGGAAATGGCCCACCTTGATTATCACCACAAAAGGTTTTCTCCCCCCCCACCCCCATTCTCCTGCTGGTATTAGCTCATCTTAAGTGATCACTCTCCTTACAGTGTGTATGGTAACACCCATTGTTTCATGTTCTCTGTGTATATAAATCTCCCCACTGTATTTTCCACGGTATGCATCCGAAGAAGTGAGCTATAGGTCATGAAAGCATATGCTCAAATAAATTGGTTAGTCTCTAAGGTGCCACAAGTCCTCCTTTTCTTTTTATGAAAATATTCGTATTTCTACATACTTTGACAACATAAGGACTAACATACATACTTTGACAACATAGGACTAAGACGCCAAGAGCCTGCTTATCAGATAACAGTCAAAGAAATATGGGGCTCAGGATCTCCTTTAATTTCTCTCCATCATTTAACTGTCTGCACTGGGCACTGCCACAAATTCTGGCCACAATCTTCAGGGTGGCAGCTCTGCCAATAACATCACTATAGCAAACCATCAACCCACATGACATCAACAGCATGGATTTCAGCTCCTGGGATAAGAAGGAGGTTTTGCTGAAGTCCTTGTGTGTTCTGAGCCTCAACTTCCTGTACCTGGTGAGGCTTTACTGCCCGTGCAAGCTGTGGAGCCAGGAAAATGTCCTCTTCATTGGGTGGATGGTTGATGTTGACAATGACCTGCCCCAGAGAATCCGACTGATTTAAGGCATCATTCACATGAGAGCCACTGCTCTCTTCAGTACCATCCCCATCTTCCCCCTCGTTGGCAGAGTCGCTGCTGTCTACGATCTGGAGGGCCTCATCCTCTCCTGAACTCAATTCGATCACTTCTGTGAAAGAGCCAGAGGGGGGAAGGGGCATTAACTTTTCACTGGACTTGTAGACAGGAGTCAAATTCTGTTAATTTTCAGCAAAGGACTCAAAAGTACCAATTTCGAATGCAGATCTGAATATTCAAATACAATTTGTAGCCAATGCTTGGCCCAAGGTGCTTCGCCTCATTTTGGAAAGGTTAATTAAGGACAATTTGGTAGTGGGACTACCAGAATCAGCACTACGTTTATTTAAAAAACACTTTAGATACGTAACATCTGAAGATAGACAGCTTTGTGGGAGATCTGGCTGGATGACACTGCGTAAATGGGACCGTTTGGGCAATACACAGATGTGTGATAGGTTGGTTGTGAGTCTTACCATCTTTAATGCTATGTAGTATGCCTTTCGTGTCATCTTCACTGCCACTGCTGGTGCTATCCAAGCAGATCACTTCCTCAGCTAGGACCTGAGGAGGAAGCTGAGTGGCCTCTGCTGTTCTTAAAACTATTTCTTCTACACAAAAATAGTAAGCAATAGTTAGCAATACTAATAATAATCAGGAAAGATACAAAACTGTTCGAAGTTAAGTCAACATTCCCTTCTACACTTGCTCCAGTCAATTAGTCCTGGGATTTTCTATAATCAACTCTTGCTCTTTAACCTACCGCTATGTCTCAGCTTAGCGGGTCATTTCATCTCCTTTTCCCCCACCTCAATGTGCTCAATGATTCTCTCTAAACAAGGTACTCAGGGTTGGGAAGCTCCCCATTACAAGCCACGTGTGGAGTATATTCCTCACTGAGACTCCAAAGCCCATTTTGTTCCAAAAGCTGAGAAAAACAGGATAATCTTTTAACCATCCAGTGCCTTACAACAAGGGGGGAAAAGTTCCCTTTTCCTTACTTTGCACTACTTCCTGAGAGAAAGCACAAGTGCTTAGGGGCTAAATGGGGCCAACTTGTGGTCACCGTTTCCCAGCACTGCAATCTTGTGGTTACTCTTACGTCTTTATGTTTGTGAAAAATATTTTTAAAATGTGAAGAGAGTGTAACTAATACAATGTTGTCTCCATGGGTCTGCAGACAGCCTGGAAAAATAGCTCTGAGAGGTGTGAACTGCCTCATTCGTTTCAATCGGTGTTGACTCTGAAGCCTAGCTGTTCTAATTTAAATGTCTGCATTGTCAATTATTTCACTGCTGGTCAAAACATGGAAGAAAGAAGTGTGAACATTTGCACCAAATACTCAGAGTGATGTTTGGTTTTGACATGCCAAAACACAGACTTTGGTTTGAGTGTGGGGCTAGGGCAGGGGTGGGAAAACTTTTTGGCCTAAGGGCCACATCTGGGTATGGAAATTGTATGGCGGGCCATGAATGTTCATAAAATTGCGGGTTGGGGTGCGGGAGGGGGTGCGGGCTCCAGCTGGGGGTGTGGCCAGAAATGAGGAGTTCAGGTGCGGGAGGGGGCTCCGGGCTGGGACATGGGGTTGGGATGTGGGAGGGGGTGAGGGCTCTGGCTGGAGGTGCGGGCAGGAATGAAGGGCTTGGGGTGCAGGAGCGGGCTGTGGGTGGAGCAGAGGGGTTCCGAGTATGGGAAGGGACTTCAGGCTGAGGCAAGGGATTGGGGTGTGGGAAGGGGTACGGGCTCTGGACTGGGGGTGCGGGTTCCAGAAAACCTGTGGGGCCGGAAATGAGGGGCTCAGGGTGCATGCAAGAGGGGGCTCTGGGCTGGGGGTCAGGGGGTTGAGGGTTCCGGCTAGGCGTGCAGGCTCTGGGATGTGGCTGGGGATGAGGGGTTTGGGGTGCAGGAGGGTGCTCTGGGCTGGGACTGAGGGCGGGAAGGGGATCAGGACTGGGACAGGGGGTTGGGGCGTGGGAGGAGGTCAAGGGTATAGGCTCCGGGCGGCGCTCACCTCACGCAACTCCGGAAGAAGCGGCATGTCCCCCTTCCGGCTCCTATGCGGCGGTGCGGCCAGGCAGCTCTGCGATCTGCCCCGGTTGCATGCGCCACCCCTGCAGCTCCCATAGGCCGCGGTTCCCGACCAATGGGAGTTGCAGAGCCAGCAGTTGGGGCGGGAGCAGTGTGTGGAGCCTCCTGTCTGCCCCTATGTGCAGGAGCCGGAGAGGGGACACGCCATGGCACACCTGGAGCAGGGCAAGCCCACCGACCCCACTCCCTGGCTGAAGTGCAGGAGTGGGGCAAGCCCCCAACCCTGCTCCCCAGCAGGAGCTCGAGGGCCAGACTGAAAGGTCTGATGGGCCGCATGTAGACCTTGGGCTATAGTTTGCCCACCCCTGGGCTGGGGAGAATACCACTTTCTATTCCTCTTCAGCTGCTATCCTTAAAACTTGCTTTAGTGAATGCCGCTCTCTGCTTACCTGGAAGGAACTCTAGCGGTACAGTGGGGATGGCTGCTGGATAGTCCTTTCGCTGCTGCTCCAGCCGTTTCCTTCTCTCCAACTCTTCCAGCTGGGCTGCTTTTGTCACAGCCTCAAGCTGATCCTCCCGCAGCAGCTTTCTGAGCACATGGGCAAACACAGAAAATATTATTTCATTACACCAAGAAACAGTCTATCCCAAATAACTTGGGTGGTTTCATAGCTGACCCACAAGAGGAATGACAACCTCCAGAAAGAACGTAAGCTACACAGACTAAGAACATCATAGCCAAAAGCCATAGCATGACAACTACAATTTTAGGGAAGGCTGCTCGCTTTTTTAACTGCCTGTAACTGCTACTGTTGTATGAGGAAAGGGCTGGTGTTTGACAGGAGCAAAATGCTGGATGGATGGAAAAGGTGAGTGGACAAGTGTGTGTCTATGCTGAGATGCCTAGTAGCAGTAAACTTGAAAGGATCTTTCTGTGAACAACAGAGGATACGTATGTTATTTATTTCTATGGTATTAGAGTCCACGTACAGCAGCAATGGCACAACATCAGGGAAATCTGTTAGGAGACAAAGCACCTATCTAAAAGCCTACAACAGCAAAAGAGGAAATAAGTACTTTCAAATCACTTTCCTGTTCTTCTGGTTCTTTCCAGGAACCATGACACCACCTGCATTCCAAATATGCTTAGGGGTTAACTTAAATACACCACTTTACAGGTAATCCCATGAGTTTTGGAAGGTTCCGTTTTTCCCCTTTCAGATTAATGTGAAAGGTGAGAGATTTGCAGCTCTGAAGACTGAATTCCTCTATCCAGAATATAGGTACAGTCTGATCAGTGGCAGTCCAAGGCTTCCTCACCCTGCCCTGCCAATTCACTCTCGCCCTCAAATGTAGGAACCTCCTCCTCCATGAGTAAGGAGATATCTTGGTATCCATGGCCCACTAAACTATTGTTCCTTGGGTTGAGGCTGCCAACAAGAGGGCTAATTAGTACTAACTGCCATGTGAACCAGACCAAGACCACTAATTCTTTTCACACAGGGGCATCAAACCGCCATCAGCTGGTGTAAGATGCCACATTCCATTATGACTCCTCTGAGCCATCTAGTTCCCCGTAAATAAATGTTATTGCAAACTTCTTATAGCCCTCCATCCTGTCACAGAATATAGGAGGGGACCTAAAAAAATCTCAAATTACTACAATGTAAAATGAAGGAGAAACGGACTTTTTAGTCATTGGCTGCGCCCTGAGCTTTCTTGCAAATAAACACCTAAAGTAGTGCAGGGAAAGGATTTATTTTAGGGAACTTACAATATCATCAGCTCTAATAGAGAAGAGACACACTCTGAACTCAGGTATTGATTAGAATGTAATGGTGGAACTGATTTTCATGTATTTGGTTTTAAAACCTAGATGTGAATTATTCTGCTGATTTCATATATTTGCTGCTCTGGAGCTGAACATGTTAATCTTCTGAGATCTCAAACAGTTTACTTGCCCCCCCCCCCAGTAATATGATTTGGTTTTAACAGATTGTTTGGTTTTCTACCGAAGCTGGTGGCAAAAGCCTAGAAGCAATATAAATTCAACTGAATAGACTCCACTTTCCCCCATTAAGACTGTGGGATCCTCTGCCCTTCCCAATTCTATTGCTGCCCACCTTATGTTCCTCCTCATGTGAGAAGGTTTCTGAGCCCTCTTCTTTTTGGTGTCCTCAGAGGCCAGGCTCTTGTGCTGATTCTGCAAGAGTCGCTCTGCCCGCTCGCTCTGAGATGAGGTAGTTGAAGTAGAGCGTTGCCATTCCCCATCCTCCCCATGCTGAACATGGTCACTACTGAACACATCTTCCTGGGGCTGGTCTGAAAAGAAAAGGCAAGAACAAATTGTAAACAACCATCCCATGCTGTCAGTCATTTTTATACACCTGCTAACCGCAGACCGAGCTCAAAGACCAACTGGAATCATTCATCCCTCTTCTTGTTCATTTGGTTGTATGTTTCTTTGAAGGCCAAAATTATGAACTGACCTTTCTGCACTGAAGATGCTACTAAATACAGTGTTAAAGTTCTCAGGCCAGTGTCTGTCTCCTGTGAAAGAGGAGGCTGCATCACTAAAGACAGAGCCAGAGAGAGAAAAAAAAAAAAAAACCTCTAGGGCCCTAACATGAAAACAAAGTGAACAGATTCTAACTCGGGCACAATGTTTTCTGGCCTGAAACTTTACTTCCTTCTAGTGGCCAGCATTAGTATTGATTAGGAGAGGGAGCTAAAAGTAGCCCATAACCATTTATACTGCATTTGGGAACCTACAAGTCTAGATGCAGCTAAAAGTCAACGTGCATTAGATGCGTGCTACTAAGGGCTACAAGAACATAAGAATGGCCATACTAGGTTAGACCCGTGGTCCATCTAACCCAGTATCCGGTCTTCTGATAGTAGCCAGTGCCAGACACTTCAGATGGAATGAACAGAACAGGACAATTATCGAGTGATACATCCTGTTGTCCTGTGCCAGCATCAGGCAGAGATTTAGGGACACCCAGAGCATGGAGGTTGCATCCCTGACCACCTTGGCTTATAGCCATTGATGGACCTATCCTCCATTAACTTATCTAATTCTTTTTTGTACCCCATTATACATTTAGCCTTCACTCACAGCATCCTCTGGCAATGAGTTCCACTTGGGAGGGAAGTTCCAACAAGCTTTGTAAAAGGAAAATGGTCTAGCATTCCACAAAAACTGCTGTCCAGTTTTAACAGCAGAGGGATAACCTGCAACCCCATCTCAGGATCAACTCTGCTCCTCCTATACAAAGAGTTAAATCAGAGAACTACAATGACTGGGAAAGGGTCTGCCTTTGAAATAGATAAGGGGGGGGGAAAAGGCTGTGACAAGAAAGAGGAAAACAGGCAATATGTCAGTGATACCAGCATCTCTGGAAACTCGTGGAGTCCCCTCTGAAAGGAGAGATGGCTGCGGTAACGACAAGTACCACAGTGTAACATGTCATGCACACAGGTGCCACTAGAGGCTGACACATTGACACACCAATTACATTAGTCTTACCACCAATTTCTCCCCCTCAAAGCTGGGGTCCCGAGAACAGTATTTTGCTAGCTGAGCAAAGTGAACAGCACTGCAAGCTCAGCCCAGCAGAGATTCTGTTAAGACATCTCCCAGAACTATTTCCATTTGCCCCCAATCTAAATCAGAATTAATGCAGGACATCTGAACACAACACATCCTGGGCCACAGAATGCGCCGTTTTCTATGCACATCCATACCATTAAGCCCTGTCTATGCCAGAAGAATGGTGATCAGCAACAGGTGCCAGCAATAGGTACAGCTGACCTTGTGCTGAATAGGGAACACTGTTTTGCTGCAAATGTAGACACAGAAAAACTGATCTCAGTGTTATGAACCTTGTGGGTCTTTAGAGTCTATTACTACAACATGCCTCCCTAAACAAAACAGGCTCACAGACCATGCATTATATTCATTTACAGGGAGAAATCAGTGCTCAGAAAAGAATCCTGTTTCCTGGGCTTCTCAGATAAGAGCTCTACCATTTGAGCTCAAGATGCAGTTTGGTCACATTACCCACAGGTCTTTAACATTGCTTTGTCTTGATTCAGAATTATATAACTAGATCAAAGGATTGGATAAAATAGGGCAAAGGGAAACAGCAACAGCAGCAACGTGACCACATTCTACAGGCTGAGTCATTAACCCAGTAACTTTCCCAGAGCAAACAAAGCCATTGGTATCCCTGCTACCATCCTACCCTGAGCCCCTGAGCCCTGGACACAATTAGAAAGGAACAAAGTCATGTTCATTTTGGAGAGGGAACCACCTCTCTTTCTGCCCCCTGGCAATTACTGATGCAGCACTGGTTCTTCCCTTTGCACTGACTCTTCTCCAGCAGAGTACCAGCAGAGGGTAGTGCAGTGCAAACACAATTCAGAGTCTACACAGCAGGAGGGTGGAGCTGTCTCCAGTACGTTTCCCTATCTGTCTTTCAGTCTCTTTGTATATTTACTTTTCTGCATGCATTTTCCTTCCTCTCTTCTGAATTTGCTCCAAACTATATTTAACACACTAGGTGACAAACAGCTGTGGCCAGAATTTAAAAAAAAACAACCACTCTTACCTGAGCAAGAATATGAAATTCAACTCTGATAAAAGAAAAGGAGTACTTGTGGCACCTTAGAGACTAACCAATTTATTTGAGCATGAGCTTTCGTGAGCTACAGCTCACTTCATCAGATGTATACCGTGGAAACTGCAGCAGACTTTATATACACACAGAGAATATGAAACAATACCTCCTCCCACCCCACTGTAGCTCTCCAACACGAGTTTCTACAAGCCATTACCCTATGATCTCACTGAGAGTTACCAAAAGCAACTACAGCATTTGCTCAAGAAACTTCCTGAAAAGGCACAAGATCAAATCCGCACAGACACACCCCTGGAACCCCGACCTGGGATATTCTATCTACTACCCAAGATCCATAAACCTGGAAATCCTGGGCGCCCCATCATCTCAGGCATTGGCACCCTGACAGCAGGATTGTCTGGCTATGTAGACTCCCTCCTCAGGCCCTACGCTACCAGCACTCCCAGCTACCTTCGAGACACCACTGACTTCCTGAGGAAACTTCAATCCATCGGTGATCTTCCTGATAACACCATCCTGGCTACTATGGATGTAGAAGCCCTCTACACCAACATTCCACACAAAGATGGACTACAAGCCGTCAAGAACACTATCCCCGATAATGTCACGGCTAACCTGGTGGCTGAACTTTGTGACTTTGTCCTTACCCATAACTATTTCACATTTGGGGACAATGTATACCTTCAGATCAGCGGCACTGCTATGGGTACCCGCATGGCCCCACAGTATGCCAACATTTTTATGGCTGATTTAGAACAACGCTTCCTCAGCTCTCGTCCCCTAAAGCCCCTACTCTACTTGCGCTATATTGATGACATCTTCATCATCTGGACCCATGGAAAAGAAGCCCTTGAGGAATTCCACCATGATTTCAACAATTTCCATCCCATCACCAACCTCAGCCTGGTCCAGTCCACACAAGAGATCCACTTCCTGGACACTACAGTGCTAATAAACGATGGCCACATAAACACCACCCTATACCGGAAACCTACTGACCGCTATTCCTACCTGCATGCCTCCAGCTTTCACCCTGACCACACCACACGATCCATCGTCTACAGCCAAGCTCTGCGATACAACCGCATTTGCTCCAACCCCTCAGACAGAGACAAACACCTACAAGATCTCTGTCAAGCTTTCTTACAACTACAATACCCACCTGCAGAAGTAAAGAAACAGATTGATAGAGCCAGAAGAGTTCCCAGAAGTTACCTACTACAGGACAGGCCTAACAAAGAAAATAACAGAACGCCACTAGCGGTCACCTTCAGCCCCCAACTAAAACCCCTCCAACGCATTATTAAGGATCTACAACCTATCCTAAAGGATGACCCAACACTCTCACAAGTCTTGGGAGACAGGCCAGTCCTTGCCTACAGACAGCCCCGCAACCTGAAGCAAATACTCACCAAAAACCACATACCACACAACAGAACCACTAACCCAGGAACTTATCCTTGCAACAAAGCCCGTTGCCAATTGTGCCCACATATCTATTCAGGGGACACCATCACAGGGCCTAATAACATCAGCCACACTATCAGAGGCTCGTTCACCTGCACATCCACCAATGTGATATATGCCATCATGTGCCAGCAATGCCCCTCTGCCATGTACATTGGTCAAACTGGACAGTCTCTACGTAAAAGAATAAATGGACACAAATCAGATGTCAAGAATTCTAACATTCATAAACCAGTCGGAGAACACTTCAATCTCTCTGGTCACGCAATCACAGACATGAAGGTCGCTATCTTAAAACAAAAAAACTTCAAATCCAGACTCCAGCGAGAAACTGCTGAATTGGAATTCATTTGCAAATTGGATACTATTAATTTAGGCTTAAATAGAGACTGGGAGTGGCTAAGTCATTATGCAAGGTAGCCTGTTTCCTCTTGTTTTTTCCTACCCCCCCCCCCAGATGTTCTGGTTTAACTTGGATTTAAACTTGGAGAGTGGTCAGTTTAGATGGGCTATTACCAGCAGGAGAGTGAGTTTGTGTGTGTATGGGGGTGGGGGGGATGTGAGAAAACCTGGATCTATGCAGGAAATAGCCCGACTTGATTATGTAAAGAGTTGTCACTTTGGATGGGCTAGCACCAGCAGGAGAGTGAATTTGTGTGGGGGGGGTGGAGGGTGAGAAAACCTGGATTTGTGCTGGAAATGGCCCACCTGTTGATCACTTTAGATAAGCTATTACCAGCAGGACAGTGGGGTGGGAGGAGGTATTGTTTCATATTCTGTGTGTGTATATAAAGTCTGCTGCAGTTTCCACGGTATACATCTGATGAAGTGAGCTGTAGCTCACGAAAGCTCATGCTCAAATAAATTGGTTAGTCTCTAAGGTGCCACAAGTACTCCTTTTCTTTTTGCGAATACAGACTAACACGGCTGTTCCTCTGAACTCTGATAAAATGGTTTGTCCCTGTTCAAACAAAACATAACTCGTCAAACTAGAACCTTGTTCAACCACTACCATATTTCATTTAATAGTTAAACCCAGTTGTTTGCCCTGTGTATGCTATTTCTAAGAAAAGGACTGCAGTATGACAACACATATGGTATATACCCATCTGGACAATAACGTCTTCTCCACATTAGGGACTTTATCAAAAAATCTCATCGGTTCAGCTGAAGTGGTATTAGAACCAGTGGGATCCGTCGTGTAGCAAGGTT